CTTTTCTTCCCCTTTCTTTTCTTTTCCTTTTTCATGAAGAGATTTCCTCATTCTTGGATAGAAGTAGGCTTTTGCGAGGTTTGGATGAAAATGGATTTTTACTTGATTTTGAAGGAGCATTGAAGCCTATTCGAAATCCTCTAACAATAAGTTTTCACAAAAGAGTGGTTACGAATCACTGCCATCTTCTGGTTTGTTATTTTAATGAATTAAAAACGCCACCCTTTTGCTCAACGTCGAAGAGTTCCAAACCATTTTGATAGCCGAATATAAAAATGTGAGTGATGCATAAAGGTTAATCAGTAAAATAGAATTAAAATATTCCTTCACAGCAAGCGGGCACATTTAAGGAGCCGATAATATGGTAAGTCCACATAACCTCATTGAATGTCGTACTCATGAAGTTCATCCTCCATGGGTATGCATAGATAATGTCCTTGTAGCCATAATTAACTCACAGTAAACAGTTTTTGCAGCGTATCGCGAGTCGAGAATCAGCGCTGAGAAAATGTATCAGAAATGGAGAGAATTGCGCGAAAAAGGTGCTGGACGAGTTGTGGGAAAAAACGCCCGATTTCGACGAGTTTTTTGTTAGGGACAACACACGCATGGTTTGCCGAGATTTGCGTCAAGTAATGAGAGGGTCGAAGCGCAGCACGTAGTAGGTTCGAGAAGAATTTGCAATCTCCAAAAAGGGAATTTTAAGCAGAAGATTAATGTGCAAATCTGTCAGGAAAACAAATTTAACACTTCAGAAGGTTGAGAAGACAGATTTCTTCCTACTCTCTTCCCAGCGAACATTTGCACAGTGCTCCAGCCCTCCCAATGTGCTTCTTTGTATGGGTTTCGCGTTTCTTTCGCCGCTCCGAGGAAGCCATTGCGAGTCAATGACAGAATTGGCCTTTTGTACGCATGTCAATGTTCGACCACGGGGGTGGCCGAAGAGCTGCTGATCGCGCTAAACTCGGGGTAAACATTGTGGGAAAAATATTTTTGTATGGGTCCTTTCTTCAATGAGGAGTACTATGGATGGAGTAGATTAAGTAGCAGCGTTCAAACCCGAGTATTTTTTCATACTACTTCCAGTAAAAAAACTGAAGAAATCTGGAACCTAGATTGGTTTATTTTAGCATTTTTATTTTATGGGAACAAAATCATGAGCAAGTAGAAAAACAAGGGCCGCAGCCGTGAATAATAGTACAGTATGGTATGGAATCCATAACTTTTTATGGAAAAAAGCTAAAGTTGACGATGAACCAAATTTTTCCCAGTCTAACAAAACCGTAATAAGCTCTCAGAGTCCGTTATTTATGGAAAACCCTTCGAGCATAACAGTGATGCGCTTTGATTTGGTCGTAAAACTGTGCCCGAGCTGCCATATGCGGTGTTGTAAAGCGGCAGCTGCTAACCCGACACCAAACACAGGAGTGACAATGCTCTCTCTTCAAAGCTCCAAATGCTCATCTTTCGGAAAGAAGAACTTTGGGACCGCTGACTACTAGCTCGCACCTGAATGGGGACATACGTAATTTGTAAACATGAAATAGAATGAGGCAACTTTGATCAAGTATTGACTATTGTTTTTTGTTTCGAACCTCTTTGATAAACATTAGTTTGGGTCTTCTGGTGTCTTATATTCTGAACTAAACTGAATGAAGTGCTTATCTATACAGTGTGCTTCATGTTCGTAGGCAGATCAGATACCTCCCCCCGTTCCCCTCCTCACATGGTCCGCAATAAAATTGTCCTATGCACTGGCTCCATCATTCCTAGAAGGCAAAGTGAATGAATTTTTCGGGAACCCATGACAAGCACAGCATATCCATGAGCAAAAGTTGTGGTCAAAAAGTCCTTTCAAGATGAAACGAGATCCTGTGGCCCAAATAAGGCCTTCGTTGCTTCCAATCGATAGCTGATTCATATGAATTGACTTGACAGAGTTTCCGTAGTAACTAATGCTCCCATGTAAAACGCTTACTTTACTACACTGCAATTTTTTAGCCGATTCAGATCTGAGGTAAGAATATGTCTGTATAACTGGAGTGGATTCGGTCCTTTTCTGCCATCCACCCCATCAATAGGATGCTGAGTTTTGAAGGCATCATCTTCTTGGTGATAGCATCATATGTTTTCTTCTTTCACTCAAGTATGAGCAAATTTACTATGAGAGAGAGAGGGGCACCCTACAACATGGGGTGAGGGAAAGGTAACAAAATTCTATGATAAAAGCCAAACTTCAATTTTTTTCAACCAAAACCGTAAATCTGGCTGGATCTGTATTTTATAAGGTATCCCTTGAAATCAAAAAAATCCTTTTATTTGTGCTGAAGTGAGAAAACACCAGGGCTCGGCACGAGGTGGCTTTCCGAAAATGTAAGAAACGAAGTCCTCTTTGACTTTCCCAAAATTTTACGAAATCCCCTTTGACACTAAAATATTAGGTCGTTTCAAAAGTAATTTCGCTTTTTTTTTAACTGGCGCCACATTTGATGGAACAAAGGTTCCTAAGAGATCTTGGAAGCATTCGATGCAGCATTTCATTCTCTTTCTGACGGTCTATGAAATTGTTGCAAAACAATCAATGAGCTTTCAGAAAATAACCAAAGTCTGCGAGCCTTGCTTTTTGAGATGGTCAAGTTTCCGGATTTTTTAAAAATTTCATATCAATCCTCAGAAGGAGTTCAAGTAACGATTCGATAGAGTAAACCTTACAGAATACACGCTACTTTTTTCTTTTTCTTGTAACTCGCCGTAATTTTATAAAAGATTTTTCAACAGAACCATCGGATTTTGACAAGCCCACCTCAGCCACAATCACATCAAACATCATAATTTTTCGGAATTTGAGACTACCAAGATGGTACTATGAGTTAACATTAAGTTTGAAATATCAAATCTCGAGTTTTTCGGGTACAGCATGGGGCTCGCCAAAAAATGAGTCATGATGATTTCTCCCCGAAAACTAAACAAATCGCGAACAAAAAAGCCCTGTTAGAAAGAGGAGAACATGCTGCATCGAATGGTGCCCGAGCTGCTCTTCTTTTGATATTTAGCGAGGAGTTAGCTGTCTTAGTATGGAAATCGGTAGCATCAGTTAAAATTATGTTAGAATTGTGTGACAAGCTGTGGAAAGGAGGAAAAAAGTTGTTTTGCATTCTCTATGGTTTGCTCTATCGAACTGTTGCTTGAACTCCTTCCGAGGACTGATATGAAAGTTTTAAAAAATCGTAAAACTTGACCATCTCAAAAAGCATGGGTCGCAGATTTTGGTTATTTTCTAGAAGCTCATTGACTGATTTGCAACAATTTCATGATCATTAGAAAGAGAATAAAATTCTGCATCGAATGCCTCCAAGATCTCTTAGAAACCTTTGTTCCATCAAATGTGGCGCCCGTTTGAAAAAAGCGAAATTACTTTTGAAACGACCTAATATAAACGTAAAAACCCTCAAAAACGAATCGACTAAAAAACGTAACCTAGTTGTGCTTTTTTGGCCACAAAAACGATCTCCCCTTGTTTTGTCCCAAAAACGATATCCAGCTTGCTTATGAACAACCTGTGCCGAGCCCTGGGAAACACTCACTTATATAGCTAACATTTGCTAGTGTGGGCGACAACCTCAAATTTGACTCGCAAGTCTTCTTTGAACCCCTCCTCAGAAGCTTGGTGGGCCTGAGTCTATGGCACCAAAAAGCTCAACAAAATGTTCTAAGCAAGACAGAAATCTGTTTCTATATATGTGAATAAAAAAAGAAAAAATGGGTCAAATATAGACAAGATAGTAAACATCCTATCCTTGCATTCAGTGCTTCTTGGTTTCTTCAAGCAGTATGCAAATCTCAGAAAACCAATTTTAGGAGTTTATCAAGAGATTTCTAGTGGTCGGATCCAAGCAACTGGCTCGAAATGTTCTATTCTGCTGTCAGTTGCTCCATTTTATCAACCGTCGCCTCATTTGTGTGTCCGCGAAACGACTCCCTTAGAGGGTGCTGTAATGATACGGCTGGCATTTGCGCTGGAAGAGAATAGCGAAGAGCAACTGGATCAGCGTTCCTTATTACGAAGAGCGCATAGCAGTGTGAAAGGATTGAAATGTTACACAATAGCGCGACTTCACGAAATCCGAAACAGAGATGGCTCGGAAGAGACATTTGATTGAAGTGAGAAGGAGAATTGGGGGATCCAGCGCGACAATTTATATACTTGGAAACAGGGCTCGGCACGAGGTGGCTTACAAGCAAGCTGGATATCGTTTTTGGGACGAAAAGCAAGGGGGTTTCGTTTTTGTGACCGAAGAGACACGGAATATTGGCGACGGCGACCTTTTTTTTTAGTCGACGTTTCGTTTTTTGGGGGATTTTGGGGAATTTTTCAGGTTTTCAGAGGAAATTTGGTTGAGGGTCAAAGGGGAATTCGTAAAAATTCCCAAAAGTCAAGGGGGACTTCGTTTTTTCCATTTTCATCTAGCCAACTCGTGCCGAGCCCTGCTTGGAAATGAGCTGATTTGACAAGGAGACAGAACAATATAACGACGTTTTTTTTTTTGAGAAAAAGTTTCAGATTACCTTGCCATTTTGAGAAGTGGAGCGACGAAAAAATCTTAGGTGAGTTAATCGACCTAGTGTCCTTACTTGTTCTTGGTAAATGAAGCGAGTTTTCATGTTGGAAAAATCATCTGGTTTTGTAAACTAATTTTTTAAAAATGTGACTGACCGGTACTTTTGTTCGAAAATTTCTCCCGAGAATACAATTTTTTCATAAAACTTTTGTATTCATTGAGAGAGATCTATAAAAATTGCGTCAAATCGACTACTTCATTGAGTCAAGTATGAAGCCGGTTTTGAAATAATATTGTTAAAAACAGGCTTTAATGACGTGTCAAGTAGACTTTTTTCGATTTAAAACCAAATTTCAAGTAAGTGTGGGCGGTATAATTCACTTGCGAGACATCTGCATTGTTAGATAGAACAAGGACAAAACTTTTTATCAAATATTTGTATTGGACTTATAGAATCAAAAGTTATGACATTTGCACATGCTTGTATTGAAAATAGGATTGATTGAACAAAGACTCGGACTAGCTCTTTTCAAAAACTCCTCAGAATGCAAGTTCGGCCATTCCATAATCTCCGGTAACCATCCAGTTGCGATCTGGTTTCTGCCGCATTCGTTCGGCAACGTCTTCAGGCAGACCAACGACAACTTCATTCTTGAGCGTTCGCAAAGCGAAAATGGGAGCAGGCAAAAAACCACAAAGAGCTTCCTGAAGGGCCTATATTTCAAATGAGTCTTTAATCACTAAAATTATAGAGGCTCAAAGATTGTTATGACGCTTCCAGGAAACCTAAAAGCGATCGATATTCACTTTCGGACAGATGATCTTCGAAGCAAATTTTCGCTTTTTGTATTATGGATGACGTAGCAAAAAGTCAGAACCACTCCAAAAAAATTTTCCGCAGGATGGCTACCCCACACAAAAATTTGCGCCATAAGTGGACACGATGACACGTACCTTGAATGGAGTTTCGTATGGCCATTCCCTGTCAGAGATCAGCTTCCGATAATTCAAATCTCCTTTGAATATGATTATCGATGCTTCTGTTAGTGTTTCGTAAAGATCCCGAGCCACTGTGTTCATCTCGCAATATGGATGAAAATATGTCCAAAACCGGTGATCGCGAAATACAAGTTCATTCTTAAAACCAAGTTTTAGGCAACTGCATACTCAAATGCCACCTTCTCCGGAACTTTTTACAATGCGACTTTTTCCGAGTAACTTCCAGATCGGGAAAGTCATCTTTATTCTTGGCATATAGACGTGTAAATCATGAATCATGGATGAGTCAATCTCATAATCTAGCCTGATGTTGTTTTACCTTAATCTGGGAGGTATGATAGTAGGTAAACGGTGCAACGTCGATGCACCATAGGAACAACTCATAGCTAATAAGGAAAGCTACCTAACTTAGCTCGGTCTTTTGGTAAAAGGCATATATATTCTGAATCAGCTTCAAACGCTGATTCCAAATATGCTATTCGTAGCTGCCATGCACCATTCCGAAGCGAGTTATGGGCTTTCGCCTACGCAAAATTGGCATACTGCTGAACATGAGAGAACTGCCTGTAGATAAAAACCTGCAAGAAAAAGGTGCTGAGGTATCGAAATAGTACAAATCCAATCTTTTCTCATTAAGAAAGCTTAGCGCAAGTGTATCAGCACTTAAATGATGATGACGTGATGCCAATGAGTCGATGAGCATGCCATTTTGCGCAGGAAAAAGACCATAACTCGCTTCGGAATGGTGCGTGGCAGCTAGGATTAGCATATTTGGAATCAGCGTTTGAAGCTGATTAAGGCTGTATATGTCCCCTGCCAAAAGGCCGAGCTAAGTTAGGTAGCATCCCTTGTAAATAATGGTCAGCTAATGAATCTATTATTCACAAGTGTCCGGGGCTACCACGCAATACAAATGCAAGTAGAAGTAGGAACGAAGACTAGAACAAGTCGATCAGTACTGAGGCGTGGACTGAATACGACGTTGATTCAAGCGAGTCGAACAAGGACTTATCCGAGCAGGGATGGCGACAATGTCGCACCCCTGCCCTGTCACCAGCATCGACGTCAGAGAAGGGACGTCGTACCCTCATGTTTGCGAAGCTGATAACGCTACTCATGCCAAGCTCAGGATACCTGGCGCCGAAACATCACTAGAGTTCAGTTCTCGTTTAGAGTTGAGGAAAGTGCTGAGGTCGTACTTTGGCGAAAACGCTGTTTTGAGGATAAAATTCTTTATGTCGTGAAGGACCTCTTATAGGAAATCGAAGTGTATGTTACTTTACTGATAGAATGCCGATGGTTGATGCCAAAGCTGACGAAGTAAAGGAAGAACCGATGAAATGTTGAACTTGGTAATGGGTTTGGGTCGTCGTGCGATTTGCCAATTCGTGGCCGACTACTGAGCAAGCTGGACACTGAGGCGTTACCTACAAACTACAAGACTGATTGCCGACTACAACGCATATCAGTCCCTGCAGGATGGATTCTGCCCTTCTGGATCTGTGTCGGCCCGTCCAAGCTGAGTCGTCGCTCCTGTCTGGAAGAAGGCAGCGTCGATCACCACCTCAACCTAGACGTACTCATCCAATAGCAATTATCCGTCTGAATCTTACTGCCTTCACTCCACTCGTGGAAACAAAGGGCACTGGGCATGGGCCGCCTGCCCTTAAAGGCACCGTCCACCCAAAGTGAGGGTTCAAAAGATTCAATGGCATACTAATGTGGGCCCCCACATTAGGCCAAACCCCAAGTTTCCCCGCAAAAGATTGCTTCCGGAGCGAGAAATCCGCTCTGGAAGGTACGTGATACGTGATCCAGAGCTGGTCACTCCGCCCATTTTGCAGCTTTGGGGGCTGCGGCGCTGATATACGCTGGGCGATAACCGCGCCGCAGCCCTGCAAACTGCATTATCCGTCCCGCTTTCTCCAAAATAGGGGTTTTTGGGATTCTCGACTTCATAGAAATTAGGGCCTTCAGAAGGCCCGGAAGCGACAAAAACATGGAAGTCGAGAATATGGGTGGACGGTGCCTTTAACGGAAGCGCCAGTCTGTCGTTCCATGAAGACAGTTGTGAGTTGAACGTGGTGAACTCCCACCGTCGCTACTCAAATGTTAGGCTGAAGGCAGATGTGAAGTGCACCTCGACAACGGTGTCGACGTATCGACAATCACCGCAAGACGCGAATGGGTTTAGGATGGCCAACTTGGGCCTCGATTGCTCACATGAGATCTGCACATGGATCACGGATAGTGCCCTAAAATCTCAAAAATAGAGCCTCCCATCAGATAAGTTCGTCTGCAGATACCTGGCTTATCTGACAGCACTTATCATCTTATCTTGTGACAAGATTTTAGGGTATACCTACAGAGGAAAAAGGGCTTATTTGCAGGGCGGCCATATCTAACGAGTAAGTAAAAGTAAGTAAGTAAAAGTAAGGGAAAGTATAAGTTTTTTGTAGGTCAAAAAACGGACTTATGTTTAAGATTATGAATGTTTGGAGTTTACCGAATGCCGTTACTTCTATGACAAGAAATTATTTTGAGTCACCAAGGACCTGAGTTTGCTGGGGATGGACATGCTTCAAAAATGCCGCCTTTTCCCGCTATCTGCTATGTTGTGGATGACTCTTCGCTGTTGGACGAAGAGAGTAACTGGTTGACCACCAACACATCTCGAGGACTCTTTCGCTATAAACGTCTTCCGTTTATTGTAAAGAGAGTTTTCGGAATTTTCCAATCGCTGATGAGCAACGTCACCGCAGACATCAGTGGAGCCGTTTCCTATCTGGACGAGTTTGTGGCCATCGAAAGGACTCGCAGGGGGCATGACGCGATCGTCTTCAGATTGTTTACACTTGCAAGAGCGCCGTGAAAAAGGTCATTTTCTCCAGTACAGTATAGTATTTCCCAGACACATTTTCAATGCGGAAGTAAGACGCCCCAACCTCGAGAAAACTGCCGCCAAAACACCTATATGCCGCCTTCTCACAGTATGGAGCAGCGCGGATCTTACCTTGGATGGATGGATTTACTCATCTTCCGTGGCAAAGATGCACTCGGACCATTAGACGTCTTGAAAAAGGACACACTGTTTGTTCAAAAGAATTTCGCCTCCGTTCGCCTCCACAATGTTCTGACTTTGGACCTTCTCCTGCGCCACTATAACCCAAAAGCTCAATCACAACTAAAACGGCTCCGATTCCATAGTTGCTGCTGACGCAAGCAATCATGAATCGGAGCCGTGATTTATCGGACCATTCGAAAGGATTGGAGAAGTTCTTATGCCACCCAGATTGTGCCTTGACTGCCAGAGAGAGGAGTTGCTTGCAGTTCCAGAAGGATGAAGGCTCTAGTTTTGCTGTCGAGATTTTTCTACCGGTACATCTATGGACGAAGACTCACTCTGCCAGCGGACCACCGCCCTACTTGGTATCGAAAGCAAGAAAAGAATGCCTGCCTACATTGGCAAGTCACAACGATGGACATGGAGGATGACACTACTTATTATTTCGACATCAAGGACACTTTACAACATCTTTTGAACAGGCCAGTGCTCTCTTCCGACTGCTTTCCTTCTGGAGTGTGCCGGACGTGAAAGCGTCATCATCGCTACCATAGAATCTGATTTCTTCGGCACTTACGAGGAAGCATTTGACCAGCTACCACTTACCGTGGAAGACGTACAATCTGTCATGAAAAAAGAACATCGTTCTCATGGAGCTGCTCATCGCCTTTGAACAGGACGTTAGCCAAATGCACTTCTCAAAACGCCTTTGTTCAACCGCAGAATCAAATAAAAGGTTTCTTTGCATACAACGGATGCTTTTTCTTTGGATTCAATGCTCATTCGCAACTACATTTGCTGAGCTGGTATGAGGATGTCGAGAAAGCTGTAAAAACGTGGCAGAATTGCCAGTTTGCCGCTAAGAATCCCATGAAAGGTGGACTGACAATGGACAATCGCAAGTCGTTCGATGAAAGGCCTGCAGCAATTGCGCTGGACCGCTTATTAGGCACATGTGCATTGTTATAGATGCGTACTCCAAGTGACCTGATAGCGCAGGAGCTTCTAAATATGTTCAGCGATTTGGATTCCCAGAAACGCATGTTTAACCCATTGACGACTATGTGGAGCACTAGTGGCCTCGCACCTTTTGCCGCCAGGGACGATGTGGACCATTGGTGGCCCACACCTCTCCCAGACCCCCTTGCAAAATAATATCCTTTCCAGGTCTAGTTTTTTTTCCACAGTTCAGCATTTTTTCTAATTTTTTGCACTCCTGGAGACTGTAGACTCCGTCGTCCAAGAAAATTGCTGTAATTGTTTAAAAGACATTAAATAATACGAAACGTTTCTGCGCCGAAAGTGTTATGCAAAATCGCGTCGTCCCACAGCGCCTCCACGCAGAAATTAGGCGTCGTCGTCAATGGGTTAATTTAACGGCACCCAATTCTTTCCATAGCTTTTCGAGGATTTTTGCAGGATCGAACGTGTTCGGTCGCAGCCATTCCACTCGTAATTCGAATGGACACTTCGTCAGAGCTTTCAAAAGAAAATTTCTGAAGCTTCAAAAAGAAAGTAACCTTCCGAAAGTTTTGTCGAAGCTGATGCTTTGCTACCGTTGCCTTGCACTTTTTCACCTGATGATTCTCTTAGGTCCAGATGTTTCTTGAACGATTAATATTCCGCTCACACTTTTGGTCACTAGAGGTCGATTGCCACACTAGACTACTTACCCGACGACATGGAAACACAGTACAACCGCCTCATGGAGCCAAGAGAAAAATCGGAGTCCAACATGCTGTCTACGATGGCGAGTACCGTAATCCATTAGGGCTTGATTAATGGCGAGTACAAGTGTATTGAACGTTCAATCTATAACGTAGAAGGGAAAGATTTGTTTGGAGTCGCCACGCCAATTAGCTGCGACATTGCAGTTCCCGGCATTACATGCACTTCGAAGAAGTTATCTTTCTGGATTCAAACTTCCTAAATTACTTTCGCCGTGCTTGATGATATTCCTGCGCTCGTTGCCCGGGAAGCCCACCTCACTGATGTGAGTCACTAACTCTTGATGCTGCTGCCTCCAAAGCCGGACCCAAAACATTGGTGAGTTCGCTACTGCTCCGTCTCTGCTGACTGCTCGCCGTTGCTCGCAAAGGACCCACCGACCACTGCGCTGTTTCGAGGTACCCGTCGAAACAGCGCAGTGGTCGTCGAAAAAGTAACACACTTGATAGTTAAGGAGGGAGTCTTAGGAGTAATATTGTTTTGTTGTTATTGCTTTGTGATATTTAAAGGCAGCGTCCAGGCAGATCTGGACCTATGGGGCTTCTACGTGGAAAGTACTTTTGGGGTCCTAACTAAGGCATTGCCCAAGCGGCAGCTAAGGTAGTGCTGTAATGGCTAAGATAATCTCCTCGAAACTGGACCCCGCGACCGTATTTCGCATGGATTCATGGTGCAAAGCGTGGATCCTAGCGCGAAACTGCCATGAATCCATGCGAATACGTTCGCGGGGGCCAGTTTCGAGGGGAATATCTCAGCCATTAGAGCACTACCCGAGCCGCCGCTTGGGCAGTGCCTTAGTTAGGGCCCCAAGAGTACTTTCCACGTAGAAGCCCCATAGGTCCAGATCTGCCTGGACGCTGCCTTTAAAGTCTTGTTAATGTTGCATGGACCTGTGGGTGGGGATTGAGCCTTCCACAAAGCCATATCATTCGAATCTTCTCAGTCATCTCCAGTTCTCGTTCCAGTCAACTAATGGATCTACTATTCACAAGGGCCGCGGACCATCATTCGGTACACGTACAAATACAATTAGGAACAAGGACTACAATATGCGTATAAAACTCCTTTCCGATTTCGAAAATACTCAGTGTGGATGAAGAAGTAGCAATTAAAAGCTTCAGAATAGTATAGGAATTTGTTAGTCTGTAATGTTCTCAAGACATTTTCCATGCAAAATTAGGAATGTGGCGAAGGAAGCGCGGCGACTTTTGTGCTTTGCCGCGTGTTCGAAACAATAAGAAGGGCAAGTCACGCAGAGCTCCTGCTGAACACTGACGTGCGAGGCCATCGAAATGTGACTCAATTTTTGAGACACAAAAAAGCAATTTCTTGCTTATCTAAACTATCACTCACTCAAAATTATGCTTATTTTAACAGCAATTAACTTGCCTTCTTAACTCTTTCACTGAGTTTCTGATACATCTGCTGATAGACACCGTCAAGTTTATTGAGCTCCCCCAGAATCCACTCAAAATCACGACCTGTGACATCCGAAATAAAATACGGATATTCCTTCAAAAAACTACTTGAGAAAGCAGGAAATGGACAGAGCGCAAACAGTACTTTTCCATGCAAAACAGTCTTATCCACTAATTTCATTTCCATGAGATACTCGGAAAGAATGAGATCACTTATAAGCTCCATACCTGCATTATCAAGAACAATATGTAGCTCTCTCGATCCTTTCTTATTCGGTCTGAAAAATATACTCGCATTTCGATCTATGCAGAGACTACTACGCTATACATACTTGAGGTTTAGAAAGAACGAGTCTATAGCGACTTTGAAGTCGTTACACAATATAAATTCGTCTAGCAGCCTAGCAGCCTCCACAGGAGAATTTTTCTAGAAGTTTCACAATGAATGCGCGCCATCAAACTACCTCCAATAAGCTTTATACATTAAGATTTGAGTAACTCCCCATATTCGAACACCCATAACTTTCTCCAGATACTCCGCTTAGCAGATAGGGTTGTTTCATACTGCAGTCGCTGCAGTAACTGCAGTCATTTCGAGACAGGCAAAAGATATCGATCGATCGACTGTCGCTACTGCAGCGGATGCAGTCTGCAATGAGCGCGATTAGATAAGTGCGATGCAGTGGCGGTCGCAGATTTCGGACAGGGGGGGGCGACAAAAATTTCCTTCAGATGAAGGTGCGTGGCGTCAGCCACGCACTCCGAAAAAATTTTTGGGGTGCTTCTCAAAATTTTTGCGCCCCCCCCCCCGCTCGGTCTGTCACTGGTGCGATGATATTGTTTGGAATGCCCGGTTGATTTTAGAGACCATTCCCTGGGAGACGGTCTTTTTGCACGGGCGGTCTCCAGCGCCACCCTGATTTTGACCTGCCCTGACAAGTCACACACGCCGCAAATCTCTCCACCCCTGCTTTGCTTAGGCAAAAGACGCCGCAAGGTGTGTCGCGCGCGGCAGTGGTCCTGTGCGGAAAGCATTACGGTCGTGCGAATCGCCCTACACCCCCATTCCGTCTCTCGTAAGCTCAGTGGAAATACAAATGTAAGTCAATGAAAAATCGAGATCTGGCGCCCTCGAGAAGTTGAAGAGTCAAATGCGTCATCGCTGCCTTGTTTTCATGCCAAAGGAAGAGTCGGAACTGTCAAAGTTTGCTGATATTTTGCAAAGCGAATAACTTCACCTTACTGAGCACGATTACCATGTCTTGGCTACATAACAAATGGCGAGTGCTTTCAAACAATTCAAGAGAATTCCTCATAATTTTTGTTGCAAACCTTATGCATCAACCTAATACACTCCTATAATGAACCTTTAAAGGAGCTTAGTTTTTATCTAAATCTTCTTGTGATCGAGATTTTGTTATGCGCGTTGCCATCAACTTTTTTGAGTAGTAGAAGAAAAAACGAATTGTGCACCATTGTTACTTCGCCACATGTCAATGACAAATCGCATTTGTTTCCCCAAAGGCACATCTGAAACAAAGATTTGTAGCAAAAGTCAATTGTCATAAACTTTAACTCACCTTAAGAAAACCTTCTAAAACTTCTTTCTCTTGTTTTTCACTGGATTTCTTGATAGAGAGCAAGTAGCTTATACTGTCGCGTATCTGATCAAGGCTGAAACGGTGTCATAGAATAAGCGGCAACTTTTTGTGAGATGCTTACTGGCCACTAAATTCTTCAACTTTCTGTTCTTTGAAGATATCGAAACTTTTCAGGAACTTTGTTTTTGCCACGAAGCCAACTATCTTTCTGTACATATACGTTTCGGCAAATAACCAATCCATTTTGTACCAGGTGACTTGATCATCTCCATGCTAGAACTATCTTCTGAGCTTCAGTGATATGAAAAATTGTTACCTCTTTTCTCAACTCCACTAAGGCCTTATTCCATACTTCATAACTATAAGACGCATCGTCAATGTCCGTTAATGGTTTGTCGGCTATTATACGAGCTTTAAGATCAGTAAGCTCTTTTACGATAGAATTCACGTCTGCATCAGCCGCCTAAATGCAGGAAAAAATAAAATCACACAACGAAATCACAGGAGCTCTAGGCAATGACTGGCAGGGTTCTTTATGTACTGCTGGAAAAATTGCTGCACTCCTTGTTCCAATAGTGGCAGACTTAAAATGTTGAGAATTTCCGAAAACTGCTTTGCGCGACTTTCTTGTGGGACATGCTGACCTTTCTGTACGATTGCCTGTATAAATCATACATCATGTTCTCAGTTCTACGATAAAAAAGCTATAGGCTCTACATTTGGCTTGGAGGAACAATTGCGTACTCAATACGTTCAAGAGCCTGATGCTGGCATTGATTTGTAAAGAGGAATAGTCACAATGTGACTAGAGATTGTCGAGGCAAACCTGGATAAGTGAGATACCCAGAAGACTTAGCTCAAAGGAAAGAGGTGGTGGAGCGAAAAAAAATACAGCTTTTGTTGAAGACTAAGAAGTCAGCTTACAGAGCAAGGCAAAAAAAATCAAAATATCATTAAAATAGTAGCGAAACCTACAACGAAGAAAAACCTTAGAGAAACGAAGAAAAGATACGTGGCAGAGTTGTCAGAAGACTGCATACGTGACGACAAATCTACCGATTACGAAAAAGAACAATTGCCACGAAACATAGAGGACTTCTTAAGTATCAAAGACGCGAGGAAGAATGCTGAGAAGAGCACGTGATAAATGAAGGCGAGCACGCTTCGCAGAGATAGCGGCCCGAGCTGCACACATGCATCTACTGTAGCAGCTGAACCACTTCACAAATCAGTGACAACCATTGTAGAAGATGAAGTTTGGTCGCTATAAAGAAAACAAAAAACAACAAAGCGACGGACCCGGGTGACATCTCCAACGAGTCTTAAAAAGAAATGTAGACAAGCTTAAACTTCTAATACTTTTGAACGGATGGAATCCAAGAACATGCCTAACTGGCACAGAATTGCGACGATATATAAGGAAGAAGAAAAAGAGCGATGCGGCTGAGTTACGTATCGACCTATTCGCCTCATAGGCCACACGCTAGAAATGTTTGATAGACTACTGAAGATCCGACTCCAAAGTATGGAGCTCGCACCTGGAATGGGGTTTGTGAAAGTTTGCAGCACAAGACATGCAATTCTTACCGTCAGGACAGTTATTGTCAGGACTAGAGAAAGGATTTGGTGAGTATGATAAATGGAAACCACAGAAGCACACCGTACCAGAGGAGTATGTTTAATGGATCAAAAGGATATATTAAGGGTCGCCAGCTACATAGAGACGATGGACGTTAGGAGGACTTCCATATGGATATCGGCGCACATCAAGAATCTGTCATCTAGCTCTCCTCTTCATAACTCTTATTAACTCTATAATAAGAATTCTTATACGCCAACCCCTACGGCTCATTTATGCAGATGATGTGGTCCTCTCGGCAAGAACGAAGAAGCTGGAGACGGACGCACAGATGTGGAAAACCCAACGGAGCGAAATTGCTTGAGCGAACAACGAAAACGGAGTACATGAAAGTGGGTGTCCCAACACTAAAGGGAGTACGTTCATTAAGAAGGCCACACCCTTCAAATATTTGGGAGGTCGCAGATGACTCGCTGGCAGCGAATGTTGGCATTGCATGCGTATCTATGAGCGACGCTTAGTGTGATAAAAACAAGAATGTTTCGATGGACGATAGCCATAAGACACGCCACTGGATCGAGCATGTCGGTAGATAACAGGATGAAAGTCCAAGGAAGATCGATCCTAAAACGGTTTGGATAAGACTGAAGCAGATCCAAGAAACTGAGACAGGAAACAAGCCTTGATTTGCAAGCTGTGGAAGAGACTTACAAAAGCAACAGACCTCGTATAACAAAAAAAATTCTTTAGTATAATGCAAAGAAATATAGATAAATTTTGCTTGTATTGCAAAGTCTTTATGATGCACTGCCTGCTAGAAGCCTTCGGTATCGGGCGGAATTCACGCGATTTCATCGTCGCGATTGATCGCGACAAGACAAATGCAACAATATCATTGCATGCCGATCTTCTTGCATTTCGGTCAGTTTTCCAACACGATTAATCATGACTAACTATCACAATCGAAATGCAAGAAGATCAGCATGCAATGAACTCGTAACATTTGTCTTGTAGCAATTGAATCGAGACGATCAAATCGCATGAACTCTGCTCAAGGCCTTAGAAGCAAGATTCAAATTCCATTTTTGTTTCTATGGAAAATTTTCTAAACTTACTATTCCATGTTGTTTGGTGAATGCTTTCCTCGCCCTTTCCACGCCTCCTATAATTTTGTCAAGAGTCTTTGGTAAACGTACTTGCAGGGTGTAGTGCACCCATGTCCTAAAATCGAATAACTCAACGGTGAATTTGGACAAACGTCGGCGCCTTACCCTTCCTTAACGCCGTTGAGCTGAGGAGGCAGTCCGTCCTTACCGCCATCACCTCTCAATACGTTGCCCATGTGGCCAAAGCTGAATAAACTGGAGAGTATAAATACCAGTGAGCTGCATTCTGATAGCATAGGCAATGAAAAGGTGAGTGATGTTCATTCATCACAGTTTATCATGAAAGTGCGGTAACTCTGTAGGACCTTGTTTTTCCATGCAATCATTTTCTCCTGAAGCAAATGTTCTGAGCGCCTCTCGGGCTTATTTGAAACCAGCTGACTTTCTCGGTCCAGTCCGGGCCATTGTTCACTGGGAATGAGGTAGATGCTATTGGTTGTCAACAAATTTACTTCACTGCGAGACCCCCTTCCATGTTTGGACGACTTACCTTGCAACTCCATTTCGATTCACTACATCCTCGTGATCCTGAGACGAGATTTAGTTTCACAGCCAATGTTTACATGACTATGGGAAAATGCTTGGTCAAAGCATAATAAGCTTTCATCCTTTAGAAATGCGTAAAAAATCACTAAATCAATAGAAGGAAACAACGAGCAGCCGGAAAAGGTAACCTATAATCTGCCGGATCCTCACAAGGAGGAGAGGTTGGAACCAAAATGTTACTGTATACTAAACTTTAGGTGCAGAACAGATCTAATATATAAAGAAACGTAAGCAAAAATCAGCAAATAGCGGGAAACCGCAGTGGGGTCCCGGCGCGCAAATGCAAACCAGCACCTTTGATTCACTAGTCTATGTAAAGATTTTGAAAACTTAAGAAATAGAAGTTTTACCTACCTGAGATGGGCATTGGATGATGCCCACCTAATTTTGAATTAAGTTAAGCACGCTCTTTATTCGCATGAATTTTTCGTGATCTTCCATACTTTCCCTAGTTCGACTGCGCGTACACACACCAAATCTTGTGCCATATCGTCACCTGTGCGTTGCAAACGAGCCATTTTATCATTTTGTCGTACTGGTCTCTGTGATTCCCAGAAAAAGTTTGCCACAATGGTCACGCATTTTTCCACAATGCTCTGCGCTATGCTCCTCCTAGTCCATATACGTTTATACTCCGAATTCTTAGTCAAAGCGTTATGTGTGTTCTGTAACCGAGACTTCTGATTACAACTCAATGAAAAAAATTGGATTTTTACAGATGGCGCGAGCAAGACTGTTTGTACATGTCAGTCGTGTAGCAACTTGTCGAGAGAGTGCATGTACACGTAAACGTATATTTACGATATCCCCTTTGCTTTCCATCCGAAGCGAATTCCAGCTTGACATTTGCCCACCTCCCGGGCTTGTCAATATTTGCAAACCTCAGAACTCGCTGAAACTTGGTCCGCAGAGGTTATTTAGCATGCTGATTACGAAAATGATGCTCTCATACTTTCAGGGCTGTTTTATTATGGCTTGCTGTACGTATACCGAATGAGCCCCACATCGTTGTGTATTCTGCATAATGAGCCTATCTGACATTCCCCCTCCTCCCTGACCTACGACCCAGGTGTGGCATTCCACAACGCTTCACCGTAGTCTTAACCATCTTGCGCCTCAAAAACAACATAACAAAGGTCAGCATAAATTGTTTTCCAGTTTGGGGAGAATGCAAACGATCATCCTGAGCGCCGCTGAGGGAATACTGAATAATTACCAGCATTGAATCTGATTTGTCTACGTAAAATTTTTGAGCAGAGAACTTCAGAAACTTTTCGAGTATGTCAAACTTCGCATGAAAGTCTCAGGCGATCACATTGTGATTAGGAAAGTTCTTGTTCAATCAGCATCTGCAAAATAATAATAAAGTGATAATATGCTGTACTTTTCCTGGTTTTCTCACATCTTTTTTACTATAATGGCTACAAATTGTGAGCAATATTCATGCTATTCATGTCCACGAATGAATTTGTAAAAATCTCAGTTGTTTAATCGAACAAGAAAAGACTTTTATCACATGTTTGTACTGGACTTATTGAAACAAAAGTTATGACATTTTCACATGCTTGTATTGAAAAGTGGAATGATTAAACAATGACTCGGACTAGAATTCTTGCATGACTCCCAAGAACCATCAGAATGCCAGTTCCGCTACGCCATAATCTCCAGAAACCATCCAATTGCGACTCGGTTCCTGCCGCATTCGTTCAGCCACATCTTCTGGCAGGCCAGTGACAGTTTCAGACTTGAGCGAACGCAAAGCGAAGATGGGCGCAGGCAAAAAGCCACAAAGAGCTACCTGAAATTTGGTCTCCTTTAAAAGAATATGTGATAACTAATTATTTTGAAAGCAAAATTTTGCGTATTTACGATGGTGTAACAATTCAAACGCACAAAAGCACTCCAAGAAAATTTCTGCAGAACGGAGCACCCCACGGGGAGTTTTCCTACTTTCAGCAGTGCACAATAACATGTAAGCTTTTGATTCAACTGGCTTGGCTTCGGGAAGGAGGGGCTTTGTGACGTAATTAAGCCCGCTCGCACCCGCGACGCACATGCGTTTCTCCCGCGCGGTGCTCTCTGTCACTAGCTGCCTTAATTAGGTCACGGAGCCCCGCTTTCCCGAAGCCAAGCCAGTTGAATAAATACCTTAAATGGAGTTTCGTATGCCCATTCTCTGTCAGCAACCAGCTTCCGATAATTCAAATCTCCTTTCATTATGATAATCGAAGCTTCCGATAGCAAAGAGTATAGATCCTTTGCTACTGTGTTCATTTCGCAGTATGGATGAAAATACGTCCAAAACCGATGATCGCGAAATACAAGTTCATTCTGAAAAATTGAGTGAAGGAGCTTATCGAATGTGAGAAAATATAGGAATGACGGCAATCTTATCTTAGCTATCCCATCCAGTTCCCTTTAATCGCTTTGGGAACTCACCTTTTTTACTCTTTCACTAAGTTTCTGATACATTTGCTGATAGACACCACCAAGTTTATTGAGTTCTGCCAGTGTCCATTCAAAATCGCGACCAGTGACATCCGAGACAAAATATGGATACTCCTAGAAAATGCACATGACAGGCATTGAATAAAAAGCAAATTGTACCTTTCCATGCAAAACAGTTTTGTCCACTAATTTCATTTCCATGAGATACTCAGAAAGAATTAGATCACTTATAAGCTCCACACCTGCATTATCCAGAACGATATGTAGCTCACGCAATCCCTTCTTATTGGACCTAGAAATCGAGTAATATTTTCAAAGTACGTTAGAAAAACCATTAATTACTTGAGCTTCAGGAAAAATGATTCGATAGCAATTTTGAAGTCGTTACACAAAATGAATTCGTCTAGTAGTCGAGCAGCTTCAACAGGAGAATGCTTCTAAAAATTTCGTAATCTATGTAATTTCTGACTTGAGTGACAATTTTCTGCCTCTTTCTTTTGACCTTGGCTATATCGAGGTTTTCAAAGTTTGAAATTCAAAAATAAAGAAGTGCATTGTATAAGAGAAAAAGAAGGTAAGGTAGATCTACACATTCGCATTCGCGACGCCACCAGAGACAGAATTAGATGATTTCGCGGGGGAGAATCCCAAACATTGATACCAAACTCTAATTTAATTCCAGTAATTAGTTTCTTCCCTCATTTTTTTCCATTTCTAGTTTCTGGTTCTGAAGGTTCTGCATCCTATTATGACAAAATCATTTTGGAGCGATATAAAGATGAAAGCAAACTCAAAAAGAAAGCTGACAAAATTCTCCTTTTTTTATAAATTTTGTCTTAATAGAAAGCGTCACTTTGAAGACAAAAATAAAAAGGATCTCCTCGAGATTGTCATTCCTCGTTAACCACGCCGACTCTTGATCTCAATTCCAGTAGCTATGAGATCTATGAAAAAACAAAAAGTGAGCCAAAACTGATCAGCCCATTCCCTGACTCCAAAAAAAAGCATTTTTAGATCAACACTGCGGTATGTTTCCTTTTCAGTCATACAAAAAAGAAGAGAAAAAATTCTGCACCATCGTTGCTGCTTCACCACACGAGAGTGATAGATCGCATTTGTTTCCCCAAAGGCACATCTAAAACAAAAATTTGTAGCATATGTCAGTTCGAATAAAGTTCATCTCACCTTAAGAAAACCTTCTAAAACTTCTTTCTCTTGTTTTTCACTCGATTCCTTGATAGAAAGCAAGTAACTTATACTATCACGTATTTGATCAAGGCTAGAAACAAGAGTACAGATTACGATATTTGTAGCCTTGTTTACAAATGCTTACTGGCCACTAAATCCTTCAACCTTCTGGTCCTTGAAGATGTCGAAACTTTTCAAAAACTCTGTATTTGCCACGCATCCAACGATTTTTCTGTACAAATATGTTTCAGTAAATAACCAATCCATTTTATACCATGTGACTTGGTCATCTCCGTGCTAAAAACTATTTTCGGTGCTGGCTTTATGTAAAAAAGCTAAGCCCACCTTCTTTCTCAACTCTGCTAAAGCCTTATTCCATACTTCAAAACTATAAGAGGTATCGTCAATATCCGTCAGAGGTTTGTCGGCCACTATACGGTCTTTGAGATCAGAAAGTCCCTTCCTTATAGAATTCACGTCTGCATCAGCGCCCTAAATAACAGAAGTAATGGAAGAAACTACCAAATTTGAACTACAGAGTTTGATAGAGTTTGATAGAGTTTGATAGACACTAAATTTCGTAGATAGAGTCATGGCCTAGTTCGAAATATCCGATAGAGATTGTTCATTCTGAAGGGAAACCGGAAAAAATTTGCTCGTTTGATATACACTAGTTCGCCAGAAGCAACCCTAAAGTAAGCCTTGGATGGGTATTTTTCAAGAATTCCATTTTTTGGCTAATTTGGATACAGTAATGAATACCGCCATTAAGCGCTTTTGCGGCGTACTGATCCACACCGTTATGCAACAGTAAACGAAAGGATTAGTGGTTCGCGAAGGCAGCGTCCACAGCATTCGTTCCGCTATCTAACTGTTTTGAATCTGCGCTTGCCCTCACAAAAAAATAGAAGACAGTGCAGTACACAAGGCTAAATTAGGATTACGTATGTTTGAGGTTTTAGAGCAGTTCTTTCGCTTAAAGACCCGTCCACCCAGACTTTCGACTTCCATGTTTTCGTCGTTCCCAAAGAGGGGGGAGAGAGTGAAGCTTCTCATGTCCCTGATTCTGAATGTGAAGCCGATAATCCACGAGAACCCCGACAATTCCCGTTCCCGAACTCGCGGGGCGGGTTCTCCGAACGTGATTGAATATGCTCACGGATGGGCGAGCATTACGGAGGAGGCGGTGCAGACTTGGGATCCTTATAACTCTTCGCTTCCGGCGCCACATTCTCGCTTTCAAAGCGACATTTTGCGCCGCGATTTGAGCATTGGCATGAGAGGGATCCTACTATCGTATGCTGCTAAATGCTCAAAGGGTGGGCGGTGCCTGAAGGAGAAGCAAAACTAAGCGATTTGGCTTTGGCAAGGGTATCCGTCGAGAAGGCCATTATAGTGATACGCTGCATCGTTACCTTCATACTATCTGCCACAAAAGGGCCTAAAACTAATTCTGCTTCACGAGACAAAACTTAGACTTACTTTTCCATACTGTTGAATCAGTGTCTTCCTAGTCCGTTCGACGCCTTCACTAGTTTTGTCAAGAGTCTTCGGCCAACGTACTCGCAGGGTGTAATGCACAAACGTCCTAAATCAAAGAACTTGATAATGGAGCTCTAGACGAACGTCGGCGACATACCCTTCCTTGATGGGGTTGAGCTTAGGGGGCAGTTCATCTTTACCGCCATCACCTCTCAAGACGTTGCCCATAGTGGCCATAGCTGACTAGAGTAAAACGCTTAAATACCACTGAAATGTATTTGGATAGTAGTAAGCAATGAAACGCGAGACTGACATTCATTCATGTCAATAACTTTTCATGGACGTTAGCTGCGAGAAGAACTTTTAAAAAAAGATTTTTTGCACTTATTCGTCAAATGTGGTTTGGCAACAACCACTACATCAACAAAGAGTTACGTTATGAAATGATCACAAAGCTTTCCAATCAAGCAACGGTGATTACGGTATGTCTACAGTAACGCACATGAGGCAACGCGACAGCTCGTAACTTCAATGATAAATGATAACCAGTGTGACCTTTAAAATGTATTTCTCAGGGGCGGAAGGGGACGCGACAAATTTTGCTTTTTTGCATGAACAGGTGTGTCGTTAGCGTTTTTTTTACAAAGCTTGGGGGAGGTTCTTGGCATTTTTCAAAGGTAAAGTACAGACATTGGGTTGAGCTCTCGATAAAACTCTATTGCACGCATAGGGTAAAGTTTGGGTAAAGGAAATGGTTCGCTAAGACTACCGTACCATCTCCTTGTCGTTCAATCTCGTGAAACACTTCACATCCTTACTTTATTTGCGTAAGAGCAAAATGACCATATTGATCCTCCACTGGTCATGCATATGGCGAACGAGAAATGCATCCTGCTAGCAATCAAAAAAGGAATTGACGCCAATACTTTCTGCGAACATATGCTAAAGGTATACTATATGCATGCGAACCTTAGAATGACTTGCAGGATTAGCCAATTAACAAAGCAATACTCCAGTCCTTTCAGTTTACTCTATGTATTTACCGTCGACAGCGACGGAGGATAAATGACTTCGTCGCCCCAGCCGGGGATTGAACCTCCATAGCACCGGTCATAACGGCGCCTCAGGCCATTTGGCCATTCGTCCCCGACGTTATTTAGATAACGAAGGATAATTTGGCTCTGACATTCCCTCATCAACAATACACATAAGGCTATTCATGACTTTATTATAGATGTAACTATACATTTATTGAACACAGAGAACAAGAGAAACCAAAAGTTCCTGATTGTACAGTATGACTTGTGACAAAAAAATAAGGAGTAGCATACATTGGCAGCTATCCATAGCCAGAAAACATCAGAATTTTACAGCCATAGGGTCTGACAGACATTGAAGTAGACATTGAATGACTAAAAGATTGACACGAGATCAATGTCCAGGCTGTTACAACTAAGAAAGTTGAAACAATTGATAGCACGCCTACGCTATAAGATAATAAAAACACTTCTTGAATGTGTTAAAATGCCAATTCGGCTACGCCATACTCGCCACTAGACAGCCATTTCTTGTCTGGCTCTGCCTTCATCTTTTCCGAGACATCGTGGGATAATCCAGCTACAAGCTCTGCTTTCAGCGATCGAAGAGCAAGCACTGGAGCTGGTAGGAAACCATTAAGTGCTGTCTGAAAACATACTTAGAGTTTAACAGGAATTGACGAAAAGTGAAACGAAGCGTTTATGCTCATCTCTCACAAGTTTCCATGACATCCGAGGTTTTTATTTTATGAAAATAAAAGAGTTGTGAAGCAATATACTTCGGATGCAACTCAGAGGAGGTGTGCAATTAGATTACTTTTTCTGTACAAATTCAATAATGTATTGCAGAATTTTCAGTTTTAACGACACAAGAACAAGGGACGGTAAAAAATCATGCCTACGTTGAAAACTAGCCCTACGTTGAAAAACTAGCCGGATTAAAATGTAAGAATGTGCGATAAAACGACAGCTAGCTCATGCTTTAAAAAAACATACATCATGCAAAATGCGTTAAAAAGCTGATTTTACCTTGAACGGAGTCTCATATGGCCATTCTCTATCGGCGAGTAGTTTTCGGTAGTTGAGATCTCCTTTGAATACGATGAGTGAAGCTTCGGAAAGTCTCTCGTAAAGATCTGGTGCCTTGAACTTCATTTCACAGTAAGGGTGAGGGTAGGACCAGAATGGATGGTCCTCGTATACTAGCTCATTCTGAAAGATGACTTTACAATAGATAGAAGCAATGAAAAGGGATACCACTGGACAAAATCAGGGCGAAAAAATACTAATGAACGGAAAATGGCAAGAATTACTTTGTTTACTCTTTCACTGAGCTTTCGACACATCTCTTGATAAACACCACCTAGCTTGTTCAGCTCCTCTAAAGTCCACTTGAAATCACCTGCAGTGCAGTCAGAAACGAAATACGGATACTCCTGAGAAAACTTGCAATGATATCACCAAAGCAAAAACTGACTGATCTACCTTCCCATGTAGAACGGTCTTATCCACAAGCTTTGTTTCCATGAGATACTCTCCAAGCATGAGGTCAACCATAAGTTCCGGTCCAGCATTATCGAGAACTATATGTAGCTCCCGCGATCCGTTCTTATTTGGCCTGCAGCAAAGTAAGAATCAGATTGTATGACATAAATGAGGGACTGTTAAACAACAGCAACAATTATCAGAAAAAAGTGTGATAAAGTGCAAAAAAGGCGCTAAACTTACTTGAGCTTCAGTAAAAAAGAGTCGATCGCAACCTTCAAATCGTTGCATAAGATCTTATGATCCGACTGACGTGCTGCCTCTATTGGAGACTGCTTCTGGAAAACAAACAATGCTTTCTTACCCATTGGAGAAAGTTGTGAGACGATAAAAACTAGAAAAAAAAACAAACCATTTGTGAACTATCACCGCTAGACAACGATAGATCGCAAGTATTCCCCCACAAAGACATCTGGAAAACAATAGATTTACAATATAGGATGGTGCACAAGGTTATGAGATACATTGAAAGAAAAAATATACCTTCAAGAGGGTTTCTAAGGTCTCCTTTTCTTGCTGCTCATTTAGATCTTTTGCAACTGAAAATACGTAGTCCAGACCATCCTTCGTTTCTTGAAGGCTGAATCGCAAAATTAAGGTATGGTTATTCACAGAAGCTGATCACAAACTCACTGTCCATTGAATGCTTCTACTTTCTGTTCTCTATAGATATCGAAATCTTTAAGATATTTCGTTTTAGCAACGGCACCTACGACCTTTCTGTACAGAAAGCACTCAGTAAACAGCCAACTCATCCTATACCACGTGACTTGTTCTTCGCCGTACTGTAACCAAATTTATCAAATCATTATAATGGTGCAGATTTTGTCCTACCAATTTTTATAGCTTAGTTATCCGCATCTGCCAAGCGACGTGACAGCATTAAGACATTATCTCCTCAAACACACACAAAGCAGATACCTCTTTTCGAAGATCTGCTAGCAATTTATTCCACATATCGTAATGGTAGACAGTATCAGTGAGATCTTCCAATGGTTTATCAGTCATGATGCGATAGCGGAGCTCTGACAGTTCGTGTATAATGGATTTGACGTCTGCATCAGCTTCCTAGAGTAGAATGACGGATATCTTGAGAAAAAAAAAAGAGAACAGAATGCCCAATATGCACACTTACAGGTCCATATTGCTCCATGAATTCTCTTCGTTTGCAGTGCACATGATCAACAGCTTTTGCCAACGTCTTCGGCCATCGCTCTGCTATAGTGTATGTTACAAAAGTTCTGAAAATACTGGTCGTTCGAGAAAAGATCCTGCAAAGCTGATCCATGTGACTTACCCTTCTTTGATACCGTTTAGTATTGGAGGTAGGCTGTTATTGCATTGGTTAGCTACTTCATTGTCTACGCTACCCATACCGGACAACCACTGCGTAGGCTAGGTATAGATTGAAGAACATAAACAAAAAGACAATCCCGATAATATTTGCAACAAAATCCGAAAACAATTCTAAGGTGAGTGCTCAACTTGAAGAAGACGAGACCCTAGTTCTAATGCACAAGCTTGATGCTATTCTGCCAGAAAACTGCAGGTTTACTGTTACTATAAGTGCTCAAAAAACCGAACGCACCATCAAAAAAGCTGCTGCGGTTGGAAGTATGATGCTTTTCCTACCAATGGCAGAACAAAAACGTCGACTCCACAAACCGAGCATCTCGAAAAATCTGTGATTTCAGATCTTCCAGCAATGTGCTAAATGACAGATCGACCCCAAATGCAGTCCCTACTAGAGATACGCCTACGCTGGTATCAAACATACAGCTTTTCACCTAATATTGCACATCAGTCACTCTCACTGTCCGATGCATCAGTAAGGGATCGTTCGGACCGCGCAAAAAGGCGCACAAAGGCGCACGAAGGCGCACAAAGGCGCCGGAACTGCCAAGGCGAAGGGTTTTGCCGGCAAAGTGCCATATTGGAATACGCGTGAAATACAACGCGCGCTGTAATTATTTCACGCGTATTCCAATATGGCACTTTGCCGGCAAATCCCTGTGCTTTGGCAGTTCCGGCGCCTTTGGTAGGTGCCAGAGTATGCGAATATTTTGTTCAGGTTGGGGTCTCCCGCAGAATTTACGTCTCTCACCATGCTGGCGTCAATCCAAGTGACGTCAATTCTGCGCGGGATCCCAACCTGAACAAAATTCGCTTACTCCGGCACCTAGGTACGTTTGTGCGCGGTCTGAACGATCCCTTAGGCACCCGCCATACTTACCCCTCTTGATCCGCTTAATCCGCTTGATCTGCTTGATCCGCTTGATCCGCTTGCTCCGTTTCTTGCAGGACGCGTGTAAAACGCGCGCACTCAGCAGTCTGTCATTTGGCGTCACGTACAGCGAATTTGCTCAACCATACGAGATTGCTTTTTACCTACGCGGCGCCAAATGACAGACTGCTGAGTGCGCGCGTTTTACACGCGTCCTGCAAGAAGCGGAGCAAGCGGATCAAGCGGATCAAGCAGATCAAGCGGATCAAGCGGATCAAGAGGGGTAAGTATGGCGGGTGCCTTAGGGACCCGTCATACTTCGCCGAGAAAGCCCAAAAGCGCCCAAAAAGCCCAAAAAACCCCAAAAAAGCCCGAAAAAGTCCAAAAAAGCCCAATAAAGGATAGAAGAGCCCGAAGAGCCCAAAAGATCTGGAACGCAAGAACGAACTTTTGATAGCATTCTGACCTTATTTTGATGTGCAAACGACAGAAAGTGAAGCAAAAAGGCTCGGTTGCGAATTCAACACACATGCCTTGGCGCTGAAACGGAAGGGGTGTTTCGGTTCTTTCACGCTTTTTTGGGCTTTTTTCGGCTTTTTGGCTTTTTCGGGCTTCTTTGGGCTTTTTTCGGCCAAGTATGACGAGTTCCTTATGAAACTTTCTTGTCGTACATGTGCAAGACGAGCACCATCATTGCGATAATCATTTACCTTAAATCTGCAATAAGACTCTCACTTTTGAGTATATCTCTACGAATTACATAACAACCTACAAACTACTAGCAATCGAACAGGAAGAAATATGGTAAGGCCTTGTGAAATCCAACTGCCCGCAGCTTGATTTGAACACCAACGCGCGAGCGGCTGGGGACATGGGCCCTCGACGCGATGTAGACTATTCATAGGCCAAAACAAGCGCACGCTTCCTTGATACGTATTTTTATAAACACTTTTGGCTAAGACATACGTGCATTGCTGAGAACAAGACGGATACTGACCGGATTCATGAGCGGATGAGACCGGCTGTAACGATTCGTGACAACCGCTCGCCTGTGCTGGTGTTCAAGAAACGGCGCGAGAAATTAGATTTTAAAAGACCTGTACGTAATTTAGGGCATTCGAAAAATAGTGACGATGGCTCGACCGCGCGCGACACGCAAACATTTACAGACAACCGCATTTCCTTGATTTTCATCTCTACTCGATTGCTGTTTTTGCTTATATATATGACAGTTTTTAGACATTGAGAGTGAGAGCTGAGAATTGGGGTGATGCCTTTTTGTATGAGTGTTTTCTGCTCCTGTGGGGGCAAAAACCGCAGTCAAATCTATCGTCACGATTTTATAAACGGCCTATATACAAACGCTCGAAGTGATACTGGACAAAATGAGAATTCACAATGTTGCGCCGCAGTATTGTGAGTGATATCAAAACCAAGCCCAGCCTTCAGTAAAAGAAAAAAAAAGCAGATTCACAGCAAAGGAGACGTGAAAAACCAACATACTAGGTGACAATCTTCCACCTCAACCTCTCCTCGCTCTTCTTTTTATAGCTATACGAAGAAAAAGTTTTCTCTTCTGCTAGTCAAAAATTTCAATTTCTTACCCACGATGTGATAATCGACACTCTTAGAAATCTCGAAAAGTTTTTGAATATGAGTAAAGTATTCATGAACTATCAATCTGCATTTGACCAATATAATACATTCTGAGCCCAACTTTATCAACAATGACGCAGAACAGCGAAAAACAAAGAAGAAGCTATATGATATGACTGTTTGCGATGCGAAATCCCAACAATAAAAATGATTTTCCGGTAACAGAACCATGCACATATATTAATGCATACTTTATGTGGCCGTCCTCAAATTCTGAGTTACCGATGCCAATATCGGCTAAATGCATGCTTCAAAAGGGATCAAAACCTCTCCATATTCGATAGCAAGCAACAAAGGTTTTGTGCTGCAACTACACCGAGTGACTCTGGAAATGAGGCCGCCTATACACATCACACATCGAAGACCGTAAACAATGACAAAAAAACATCGGGTATATAAACGTCTCCTATTGCTCTCCTTTCATGAGGTTGTCGTAGAGTTGATCCACATCTTTCTTCAGCAAGGGCACAACGACCTCAAATAAATGTGTACTTTCAAGCTTTACTGTATCTTTTTATGAAAATGAAGAATGTAAGGAAGCGCTTCCCTACCATCCTGATAATATACTTGCAAGTACTATGTATCAAAAACGAAGACAAAAAACATGACAAAAAATGCAGACCTCCCCTGCTTCGTTGATGTAGGCACCAATCGATTTAGTAATTTTTCCCTGGCCTGATCTCGTTTCCTTGGAAAATTCGGCAGAGAGTGTGTACTTATCGTCATAACTAAAATGGCATAAGCGCTAGCCTCGTAAGCATAACATGAATTACGACTTAACGCTCCAAATCAAGTATTGTTAACGCTATCGGGTTAACGAATTATTGATATGCAAAAAAGTAGTGATTACGTTTTCAGCTCGGAACTCCACTTCCAAATTCGTTTGTGCTTGCCGTCAGACTCCTCAGCTTGATAAAACGTCTTCTTCTCCACGTACCACTGGTATAGTTGTAGTACACCCATCAGAATGAAGTACGTGACCGAGCATACAGCCAGAACCTGCAGAACCCAAGGTAATTCCCGTTTTCATTAAGAAATGGGGCTTACGATTTTTGACTTCGGGAATGGATGAATATAATCATAGACAATGGCAGTCGCAGAAAAGCAGACAGCGATGAAAGAGATGAGTAATCTGCCATCCATCAAAGAATGGTATTCTTTCCACCCAACTTTGTCGTTCAGGATCTAATATGTCAAAAAGATTGCGATAGTAAAATTTTCTGCTGAAGACTTACCTGCTTTATAGCATCGTCCAGTGTGTTTTTGACGGTCGGCCCATCCCATTTGTTTATTCTGATCGGTTCATTGGGCTTCGCGCTCATACCTGGATACAATTGAAAAAAGCTTTGAGTACAAAGCAAGCCAGTCAAACGATGCGAAGCAAATGTTCCAAAGGGGGAATCATATCTGGATAAAATTTAGGCATGACCACATGCTAGGATTTTATAAGTTTAGGGAAACGACACGTATAGTACCAATCTACTAGGTTGGCACGAAAGTTCGTTCGCACCATTTTCAAAAATTCATAACTCTTTAAATTCTCAACGAATAAATTTTGCTTAAGAGAGGAACTCATGCTCTTTGCACCTGTACCTGAATTGTTCGTTAATATGTTGATACAGTCGCTTCATTTCATATGATCATGTGTGCCATTGCACACACAGTCCACTTTGGCGTCCTCATCTTGGATTTGCAATCGCAAAAACGCAAGAGACTTACCGATTGTTATCGATTACATCAATTTGAGGTGACTAATAACTAAAAAGGAAAGAAAATGCTAAGAACACCTTGGAAACACTAACCTGAAGACTTGTTTCTCCCACGAATCCAGGATGGGGACGCCAAAGGTGAACTGTGTGTGCAATGACACACATGATCATATGAAATGAAGCGACTGTACCTAATGAAGGAGATAGAAGCTCAAAACCAAAATCACTCAAAATTTGAATTTTTTGTGTAGGGTCATAAAAAATCGGAGACTTGCAACAAAAATCGGAGCAGTCGGTATTGTAGGTTCTTTCACCAGCTCTTTCTAACAGTGCAAAGTTTGCGCTGATTGAGCGTCTCTATGAAAAGTTATGATTTCCCCAAAAAATGCCAAAATAAATCAAATTCGCCCTTTTGTATTGATTGCTCGAGAATCGTAACTTTTCATAGAGACCCTCAATCGGCGCAAACTTTGCACTGTTGGAAAGAGCTGGTGAAAGAACCTACATTACCGACTGCTCCGATTTTTGTTGCAAGTTTCCGATTTTTTATGACCCTACACGAAAAATTCAAATTTTGAGTGATTTTGGTTGAGCTTCTATCTCCTTCATTTGTATACATTAACGAACAATTCACTTACAGGTGCAAAGAGCATGAGTTTCTCTCTTAAGCAAAATTTTGATCGTACAAATTCTTTAGGAATTTAAAGAGTTATGAATTTTTGAAAATGGTGCGAACGAACTTTCGTGCCAACCTAATACATCCGTTCCGCTGCTGCTATTTTCTTTGTAATGAAGATGGACGTTATGTCCTTTCGATTCGGCGCACGTCAAGCACATGTCAGTCAAAAAAATCAAGGCGATTTGAGACTCCACATCAACCTAGGTCCTCAATACATTATACAATACGACCAGTGGCGTACTCAGGATTTCCGTTCGGGGGGGGGGGGGCCGACAAAAATTTTTTTCTGATCAAGGGGCGTGGCGTTAGCCACGCCCTCCGAAAAATTGTTTGGAATGCTTCCCAATATTATTCCGGGCCCCTGACCCCAAAATTTTAGAAAAAGGGGGCGTGGCGGCAGCCACGCCCCCGAAAAAAATTTTTTTACAAGGCTAATTTGAATTTTTAAAAACATTTAAAAAATATTTTAATTATTTACAAGTAGAAACAAGTCCTCTGCACATTTTTATAACACATTTAAGTAACTTTCGAAAATTTCGCGACCCATTCTCGGGGGGAAGGGGGCGCGCGCCCCCCCCCCCGCCCCTCCCCTCGGTACGCCACTGAATACGACCCACCGGTGAGTCGTACATAGGCTTACTTATGTTTTCTGAAATTTTTGGGTTTGCTAGTTTACGATGAAACTTTTAAGGGAAATTGAATAAACTCCTGCATACGATTCCCAAAAGATTACCACTTCAGACCATACGACCCAACAGTGGCCAGGAAATATTACGCAGACTTAATATTGCGAAATATGCTCTGATTCGAAGTAGCAGTCATCGAAAAATCGGCCTTGTCGTGAATGTGCTGAAGGCATTGACTGGGCATGAACCCGTGATTTTAGTAGTGTCAGGGAGGAGACCCCTTATATATGCGCATAGTCCCAACCCTCTACATCCAGTTCATGCGAGGCACTAAAAAAGGCATCTCAAAAGTCTAACGCGCCGCCTTCCATTGAATAGACGTCACTAGTGGGCTTTCGGAGCGCGTTTTCAGGATTTAGGCTTAAAACATACCTGGCGGCGGGTGTCCATACGTAGCGGTGGCAGCAACGCTTTTAGTGCGTATTGACTGCAGCGGAGTGACGCCGCTGCTTAGCGCTGCAGCAGCTAACGTGAAAGGTCATGTCCATACCTAGCGTCTCAATTCTGAGCAGCGCTGCGCAGCGCTGCTCAAGCTGAGCAGCGCTGCAACTGGATTTTGCAGCTGAGTTACGCTCACTTTTTCTGAGCGTATCTCAGCTGCTCTGAGCTGATCTCAGCTGCTTTGAGCTGCAACAGCTGATTTTATGTGTTTTTGAACTCATTTTTTTTGAAATTTGCGTGTTTTGGATAGTTTTCTTCCTTTTTTTCAATTTTTGTCAAAGATTCATCATCCCATTCTGCCTTTTTTGCGAATATCGCGATAAAATTGAAAAATAATGCAATGAAAGAAAAAGAAGCAAGTCGACGTCACACGACCAACACATATGCATAAAATAATCAAGTGATAAACGAACTGAGGCGCAAGTGACCCCATAAAACAAGGGCAAACGATAATTATGTATTGAGGCATTTATCGCGCCCTAGTTAGGACGCAGCGCGTGTTTTGAGGTGTTGCGGGGCAGCAATCCTTCGTTCCTTGCAGCGCTGCTCAGCTCAAGTTGCAGCGCTGCTCAGCTCAAGCAGCGCTGCTCTCGCTGCTCGCACATTTTGTCCATACCTAAGCAGCGAGGCACATATAACCACTGGAACGAATCTCAAACTCAGTAAAAGTACCAGATATAGGGAGGAGGGGGTGATTGACACAAGCAGATATTATGATAAACTGCTCTTTAGCAACGGTAGCGCCTTATGATGGGGTTACGGTAGGTATACGGTTGGTTCACAAAAATTCTGTTTACTCGAAACTTCATCCAAAGGTTCTTCGGCATGCTTACCATGACCATGATGTCGACAACCCCCCCCCCCATACAGGGTAAAGAAGCATACGAGTGCTCAGCATTTGCCAATGATGAGACTATTAGTCAATTTCTGATTTCCAAGAGACAGACTAATGGATTTCAAAGAAAATCTGGTCGAAGCAAGATCGTTAGAGTCTCGGTTGGAAGGAAAGATCGTAATGGTTTAAAAATATGATAACAAGTATGATCGGCTCCATTCGCATAGAGACGGGTTGCGGACTCCCTGGTAATAAGGATGAACTTCTTAAACCTACACGTCAGTGCCTTGTTTTTGGTACTCACTAGCTATCAGAAACCACCATGTTTTGAGCTGCCCGACTCCGCGTCTAAATCATGGAGCCCATGATAGCTGTGATATTCGAAGAATCTAGCTAAATGAATGACTCAAGAAAAAGATTAAATGATCAGCACATTTTACTAAAAAAAGTGCATTATATACACTTAGCCAGAATGCTGACTTTACGGCCAGCTGGCAGTAAGGTTTATCGAGAACCAGGTACAGAGGTGAGTAGCCAGATATTTCATACCAGTCAATACTGTGTAAACTTTGTCAAAAAGCTTCAAAAAATGGAAGCTGCGAGAGCCGACAACAACATACGGAGGTTTACAATGCGATGACGAAGCATTCGAGCTGCTTCGCTGCCCTTTAAGTGGAGCGCTGTTTTCAATGCTTAAACGAGAGATGAGAGGGAAGGGGAAATGCGAAGAGCAGGGCAACTACAGAATAAAGGGCCATGCAGATAAGCAAGCGATGGTAAACGAAAACAATAAATAACAAGATTTGCTGAGTAATAATTCCAATGCGACACAAATGAGATACGAAGACACGGGAATCACATGAGATCAATTGAGATCAATTTGCTCACTGACCAGACATGTAAAAGACAAGAAAATCAAGCATTATGCATTTTTCAAGCTGGGATCCAAACATGCAGCTCGAAGAAAAAAATGAAATCGCACAAACTTGGCGTTGGAGCGCGCTGGCATTGCCCCGCCCTTTAATCTAACTTTTGAATTTTGCTACGACGAAATTATTGAAAGTTGGGTATTTAAACCAGAAGTTGTTATGTCTCTCTTCCTTGGTGGTGAATCATTCTCTTTATTATTGTCGATAATCTATGAGATTTTTACTTTTTCCGTAATATTTGCGTAATATTAGTCTTGCCATTTTATATTTTTTGCTAGGTTATTGTAAATTTGATGCCAGTTTTAGAATGTTTGGGTTTTCTGCGCCTGCAACATCTACAGCTGCATCCACTACAACATCCACAGGATTTGCTGCAGGTTCACGTAAGTATCCTGCCACTTTATATGTAAAAATGCCTCGAGATATAAGCTAAAAACTGGATTTCAGTTTTTTCAACTGCAGCAACCACCTCTGCTCCATCTACAACAACCCAGCCCTCTTTGACTTTCGGTGGTTGGTCTATTTTGCTAAGCAGAGCTAGCTTCTTATCTGATAAGTTTAGCTGCACCAGCTACGACTGCATCGGCTCCGCTTTCGGCCGCGACCGGTTTAGGGTAATCCAATCATCAGTGACAAGTGATATTGAAAGTTTGAAGTCCTTCTTTTTCCAGCACTGCAACGACCGAAAGTTCTGGCACAGATGCAACAAAGCTTTCTCTCAAGGGACTATTAGAAAAAGAGGGATCAGTTGGGTCAGCGTGTTCCCAGCTTCTTGCTGCTCTGACTGCTGACACTGAAATTAGCTTTGCGGACTTGTCTGCGGTGGGTTTGATTAGAAAAACTCAATGTAGCTAACGGTGGGAAGGAAATATCCTGTTTGTTGGAATTGAGCTTGAATGCTTGGGTTTCTTATGTAGAAACTGATTGGGAGGCTCAAATAAGGATATTCCAAGGTGCAACTTCTATGAGCTTGTTGAGGCCAAGAAACCAGCTCTGAACTCTCGGCCATGGAGTATTGACTTGACTGAAAATTGTGCGTATGAGATAGTCCAAACTGCTTTTTCCGGCCACAAATGCACACGCCATTCTCATCCACTCCGTACGCTTCGAAATCAAAATGAATCAGTAATGCCGTTGTGTTTGGAAGCTGATGTGATAAGTATAGAGTGTCCAAAGTCATATGAGGTGCCTATTGGGAACGACATCTAAAATTCCCCAACAGCTTCCCGTAGACATCCAGATATCTTTCCAGACTTGGGTGGATGCTTCCTTTCTATGCAGAATATCCTGATGCTGATTATATTTATATAGAGACAATTTTGAATCAATCAGCGTTTCTTTTAGATTACACAAAAAATGACGATGGATCTGGCAGCTGATGAGCGATCATTTCTGAACTGTTTGCTTGAGCTAAACGCTTATGACCGACAGTTATGGGAAAACATGCAACGAGTAAGATTCATCCCACTTCTGTCCTCAAGCAAACTGTATTGTGCAGATTACTGATGTTGAGTCAAAATTGGTTACATTGGAGCAGAAACAGGATAAAATGATGTACGACATCAGCTCCATTAATGAAGAACAGAAAGGTCCTTTTTCATTTCCTTTGTAGTAGCGTTTCATTGAAGATGCATTGTAGCACTTGATGCTGTCGTCACTGCGTTAGAGAAAGATCTCGGCCTTCCGGATTGGACTGATCAAAATCATAGCCTCCCAGTTGACGCCTTAGCAGCAACTCCTGGAGATGTGAAAAGGCAACAGCTGTAAGTTTACAGTGGTGCATATTGGTTGGTTCACATATCAGTAATTATTATTTTCTAGTTTGCATCTTCTAATCAGCGTGGATTCACAAATCAAAGAGGCAGATAGTGATCTTCAGGAAATAATTGACCAAGTAAAGTGAAATTGGACTTATCGCGTGTTCCCCTTCAGATATGTTCCTTCCTTCAATTTTCAGGTATCTTCTCTACATAAGACGAAATCAGCGATGTCCAACACTAAGAAATATACAGAAGATCAAGTAGCACAAATCCTGAAAAATCAGATGGAAACTTTAATCTACATTGACAAAAAGACAGGTGTAATCTTAATCTCTAGAATTCTTGGTGTTAAAGTTGACGTTTTCAGGAGAGCTCGATGCTAAAGTTGATGAGTTCAAAGATGTTATGGACGGGCGACACGCTACACTTTCTCCTCCGTGATCTCTACTGTTTGATATTATTGTTTTGGCTCCGGTAACTTTGTTAATTTCATGAAAATCACACATTGTTGATTACTGGTTCAGTAAATTCCTCCATACGATTGTTTTTCTAGAATTTGAGTTATTTTATGCAGTACCGAATTATATTTTTGTCGCTAGTAACTGTCAAATACGTCGCAATATTTTGTGTGAAGGTGATGAGCTGTGCATATACATGCTCTATGAAATACTCCCTGACTGGCTTACTAGTGGGCTTTTCTTGCATTGTAAACGCTTGCTTAATTAAGACCTTCGGATTGGCGGAAAAGTTTTACATTTACAAGATAATGCACACGCAGTTAAATAACCAGGGCGTGGCACGAGGTGACTAGTTGAAAATGCAAAAAAAACGAAGTATCCCTCACTTTTGCGAATTTTTACGAAGTCTCCTTTGACCTTAGACCATGATCTCCATAAAATCTCTAAAAAAAGAAACGTCGACCAAAAAAAGCGTCGCAAATTGTGTCTTTTCAGCCACGAAAACGAAACCCCTTTTGCTTTTTGTCCCAAAAACGATAACCAGCTTGCTTGTAAGCCACCTGTGGCGAGCCCTGTAAATAACTGCTTTGCTTAAACTTCATTTGAACTAATTACAAAATAGTTATCATCAATGGGACGCACATATCGTGCAAGGTCATTGCCGTATTACACTCGTATTGTGAGGTCGTAAGACACGGTGTCTGTACGCTCGCTGGCACACTTCCTTTATCTGAAACTGTTGATGTTGATAGGAAATGTTGGTTCCTATTAACTTATCTTGTATGACTCAGTTTCTCTTTCTCCTCCGTCCTCTTTATCATAAAAATGATGACCTTCGTCGATTTGGTGTGGAAGTCTGTTGCTGCACTTGGTGATATTTAGATCAGTGCAGAGTGGCTGCAATTTTTCCTTCATAGTCTAATCCTTGTGTATTGGTGTTCTAATAAGTGTATCTTGCCTCAAGCTTTCAAAAAATTTATAAAGAAAGCATTCAAGTGCGAAAATTTAACAATTCTCAGTTCTTCCCTTTGCTCCTGAACAGTAAATCGTCTGCTTAGAACATCTACCTAGTAACGGCCACAATACAACTAGGACATGTTTGTTCTACTGTTCTGTTTTTCTACCTCATTCTGTGAAATAAGGGACGAAAAGCTCTGATTATACACAGACTCTCGATGAGTACTATTGTTGCTCGTTTCTATCCTGAACTTCACAGTGCGTCCAGCTTGCTCATCAACAAGAAATGATACCGCAAGTTGTTCTACAGGTAATCTCATATGGGTGTCGGATGCACCAGCAGCTCAGATCCCGCGCGGCTGTCTCGCTTAGTGCACCGCGTCCGCTAACGCATTCTGACCATTTTCCTCTGCCTAGTTGTTGACGATTGAAGTTCATCTCTGAGCCCTTTCCTACATTCAAGCATCGAAAAATTAGCAGAAGACAGCGAGACCCGACACTGCCATTGAGATCGCTGTATTTAAAAATAAATATTGAGGATGGATATGTAACTGAAATGAATAATATGAAAGTTGGAACTTTGCGCGTCTTAATCATATGGCAAAACTACTCGACTAGTCACTTCTCAACGAATCTTCCACCGTTAAAGCAGCAGCTGTTACAACACCCGCCTCGAATGCACATCCTATGCATTCCCACATTCCTCTAGAGCTCCACATAATTCGCAAGTTATATAGTACCTCCTCGCTTGCGTTGCTCGCACTGCTCACCTTGGCCTCGTACAAACCTATGGTTTCATGCTTTTTTATTACTCGGCTGTGGACTAGCGGAACAACTTTTACAAGGAACAGGATAGAAAAACGAGAAATTTTCAAAACTGCCTATCCTGCGGCCTTCCCACAATGAAAATCCGCTGGATACTGGCCAAGCAGCAGGCTACGGTAGTGGTAGGCGCCGCCCAATGAGTCACCATCGATCAATATCTCGCGCGCGTTCGCGACGATGTCACGCTCACTTCGTCTTTCCCATCCCATCACTTTCTTCCTTCTCAATCAGCTTCATTTCTCCCTTCTCGTCTTCCTTTCTTCCTGCAAGAATGAACAAATGAACTGGCTTTCCTGCGAGTTGCTGAAAAAGAGCGGAAGTGCTGAGATTTCGGGAATCTATTCTTTTGAAATCTGAAGCATGCGGAAATTTCCATTCCACTTTGCTTAAACCTTGGCATTACCATCCCAACAAACCTGTACTGTATAGCGTAGCAAGGTTGAAAAGCATCCGGGAGTTGTTGCTAAGCTTTCCGTGCAGAAGTTTGAGAATCTTTGTGTAAGTGATGGCAGAGCGGTTTTAGCGATTTAAGTGTCTTTAGAGAACCTTGAACTAGTGATGGTGTTAGGGAATAGCACCGAGTAATCTGATGATTTGATGAGTCTTAAGTCGTATAGGAGTTGATCTCCACTGGATCATCTCTCATTTTCAAAGTGATCTATCTTCCTGAGAAGTCAATGAAAATACTGCAAATTGTACTGAGATATACTACGGCACTGCTAAACATGTTTATAGTAGAAATAAGTAAAATGTCAGGATATCGAAAACTTCGATGAAGCACTGATAGAGAAGGAAGAAGAAAGATATCTAGAAGTAGCGCGATTTGACGCATCCCCTCTCAGATCCCTCTTCTCCCCAGCGTGGATGTACGTGCATACGGGCCTAAGTATCATCGGCTTCCGGATTCGTTCAGAACCGCAGTTGTGCCAACTCGAAGCGTGACCGCTCTTGATAGCGAGAGAGTACGAAACTGTAACATGAAGGTTTAACAAGTCTATTTTTCAGAAAGCCCAAACTCGCTTCCATACGATTCTGGGAGCCAATATAGGTTTTCGGGGAGGTTCTTTTTTGCTGAACAGGGCAAGGGTTCTTACGACACCATCATATCTTTGCCCTATATAGTTTTTAGAATCAGCCAAAAGGCTGCTCATTTTCCCAGCAGTGGTTTATCTAGCTTCCAGACCAATGAAAGTGACCACATCTTTTTTATTGATGACTAGCTGGCTTACCCGGCTCCGCCGTATGTTCCGAATAGAAAATTCCATTTCTCAACCGATCCGGACCAAACTTGGCACACCTACACTTCGGGCCCCGGCGGGTGTCACAGTCCACTTTTCGTTATCGATCGATGTCGATTTTTTGCAAAATTTGAGCTAGGGGGCTGGAATTTGGCAGGGGGGGGGGTGTAATCGAGCATGCTGATCACCTCCACGGGGGTGATCAGCATAACTCGATTACCACCCTGTGCCAACTCCCAGCCCCGTAGCTCAAATTTTGCAAAAAATCGATATCGATCGATGACGGAAAGTAGCCTATGACACCCGCCGGGGCCCGAAGTGTATGTGTGCCAAGTTTGGTCCGGATCGGTTGAGAAATGGAATTTTCTATTCGGAACATACGTACAGACAGACAGACAGACATACATACAGACAAACAGACATTCAGCTTTATATATAAGATAAGCTGGTTTCTATTTTCTGAGTCAGAAAATCAAGGGAATTTAGTGGTGTGGCTCGCTTAACTGCAGGAGTACAACTAATTACGAACACAAGACGTGAAGCATACAGCGGAAGGTAGGTGCCAGAGTAAGCGAGTATTTTATTCAGGTTGGGGTCCCGCGCAGAATTGACGTCGCTCGGATTGACGCCAGCATGGTGAGAGACGTCAATTCTGCGCGGGACCCCAACTTGAACAAAATATTCGTTACTCTGGCAGCTTCGAAACTCGATAAGATCTCATCACGCAGCTTTGCAGAGATAAGATAGGCCGACTACTACATCCCTTCAGTCAGATACTATCAATAAAATAAGGGAATATTGTGAAGCCGCTTTTTATGGGTTCACAATCCTCGAAAAGTAGTAGAAATAAGTACAATGACAACATGGCAGTTGCCTTTATCAATTGGGGTGGGGGGGGGGGGGCTCGCTTTTTTGGAGGACATGGAACGCACGTGTTAGCTGTCATCAATTTTTTATTTGCCAATTCCAATACTGCGATAACGGATGTGGGGCGTTAGGCGACAAACCCGATTTTTTGGACCCCAAATAATTCCCCGTGCAAAATGTCTTCTCCGCCAAAAACAGGGGGGGTGGGAGTCGGGGCCGATACATTACTCGACGCCATAAAAAAATTGCACATAGTTTTGACTTACGGGCTTTACGTTGATTGCGTTTTGCACGTTTTGTCGCCTAACGCTTGCCCTCCCTGCGATAACATTGACATCAGACGATACAGCTACACTTCCATTTTCTCGTTCATCCGTCAAACTGTTGGTTGCGTTTTCTCCTCCTCTTATATTATGTGGTTGAGTTCTTGTTCCCCATTTCTGGTGAGCATAAATTAATTTTGCATCCGTCGTATATGCTATTGATTTATGCGAAGTAGCCTTAATTGAGTTGAAAGGTCTGATTTTAGATGGAAGACGATAAAGTAAATATGGCCCTCGATGATATCATCAAGCTCAATAAGAGATCACGAGGTGGCCGAGTAGCCGGAAGAAGCAATGGTGGCGTACAAAAGGTAAGCAGAACATTTTTTTTCTGGGAAGATATTCAAGGCTATCGTTTTCTGAAACATCATAGCTTCTGTTTTAGTTCAAAGGGCGCTCATTTGCCGGCTCTCGTGGAAGAGGTGGCCTTGCGCAACGTCGAGGTGCTCGCGCTAGCTTCGGTCAGCGACGAGGTGCTCGCTCGGAGTCCACACAGCGCCGTGGCGCTAACTCCGATGGCGCAAGTGTATCTGTCGTAAACAATGCTGCTACGAGACGATTTGTGAAGAATCTCGTCAATGTAAGACTGTTTTTATTGGATTTTACTATATAGTAAATTTTTGTTTTTGCAGAAAACGATCAAGAGGATGCGAGCTAAAGCAGCAACAGCGGTAAGCCGCGGGGCTACGAGATTTTTAAATGCGAACACGCAACATTTTGGCAACACACCATGTCCTTGCTCGTCACCGACGAGCATCAAGTGATACTTTTGTTGCCTATACCGCAATCGGTATCCGGAAAAACAAATGAGTAGCGGTGAAAATCTGCGGTTCCATCGACCGCAGCCGCCTCTTCTTGTTCGTATGGTTCGCTCGCAGAAGACGCAGTGAATTTCCGCATTCGCCTGGGATTATATCAGGCAGTGTTCTGACTTCACACGAACGTATGCTGGACATCTCTGCTTTCTGCGTCTATAACCATGTCGGCGGTGTCCAAGAACTGGTTTTATTTTCCTGCTTTTCACTTGGTCCAGTTGCTTCGATATGATTGCCGGATAATCATGTTTGCAGAGTCGCACTGATGTCGCTCTGAGTGGAATTGGTGCAAGATCGCGCATTATCAGGAAAAGGGTGCTTGGAGTTCCTCGCATTGTAAGTCTGCTCGAAAATTGACTAAGCATCGGTTTGAAGTAAATGGAGGCATCTGACTGATTTTTTTCAACTTACCCAGGTTGACTGCATCACATTTCCTTCTTTTCCACATGCTTTAAGTATTATTAAGAGGGAGTAATTAGAATCTAGTTAGTTTCGTAGCAGTCTTTTCTCACTAATGCGTTTTGCGCTTTAGTTTACGTATAGAGGTTTGTTCGCAGCTTTTCATTCTATAAAAATTGTCTCACTAGCTCAATTACTAACCTGTAGATCAAAACTAAAATTGAATTTTCTCAAAATAGAAGATATATCTCTATTTCTAGCAACAACAGCAAAGATCAAGATCACTTGCTGTTCAGGTTGTTAGGGGACCGCGTGGACTCCGGACTGCTGTTCAGCGTCAAGTAGAGACACGGTAATCATTTTTGATCAACAGAGCGACTGCTGATTACTAAATTTGCTTTCTCATTGCAGACCCGAGCCAGTTGTTTACGAGACTGTTCGCGTTGTGAATCCACAGCCAGCTCCGGTTCGCGTTGTTCGCCGTCGTGAAGTTCGACCGATATATCGTGCAGGTGGTGCTCAGCAACAAAGATCAAGAGTAGTACAACAGAACAATCAACGTGCAGCAGTTCAAGCTCCTCGCCATATTGTACAACAAGCGCAGTTCCGCCAACGCAACCGCGTGATTGTGCAGCAGCCTGTGAGGGCCAATAGATTTCTCGACCGGGACATTGTCGTATATCCGGAAGGTAACCGCAGACCAGCTGTGCGCAGAGGTAACGTCGTCTACGTTGACGATGCTATGAGCTCAAGGGTGAGACCAGCTTCTTCCTGCGTTTGATAATTTTCTATTTCTGTCATGTTTTCTTTCACTCCTTACCGCTACATTTTTCAGGTGCAACGTTCTGCTCAGAGCAATGTGCGTTTCATCAGGAAAAGACCGAACAGACAATTTGTCGCATACGACGATGTCGATGATGTTGATGTGAGTATTCTCTTAAAATTTTGCAAGCAAATGTTTACCACTTACTTGTACAGGTGGATCGTTTCCCATCAAGCAGTAGATTCAATGGAAATGGAAGAACGAGACGAAGGGGACGTGGCTTCGATGCACAGTACCAATTTTAGAAATCATTCATCTGTTTCTACACCTTTGTATGTACGATCCATGTAACACACCTCATTTTCACTATTTCATTTCATTGATGTCTATAAAATTTGTATCGGAGTATCTGCTATAGTTAGATTCTCTTCATGCTTTAATGAGGCATGGTAGCATTACCAGCTTAATCTGTTGTCGTTGCATAAAATGTAATTCGTGTTCGTGTTTGTAATGATGTGGATAATAAACAGTAACCGGCATCGTTTCTGCGTCGAAAGTACTTGAGCATCATGACAGATCGGGTTTCACGTGGTAGTTGCGTCAGCTTCACTTTTCTTTTGCCATTTTCTCAATATTCTGCGCGGCGTTCCGCGGAATGTATATATGCATTTGATCTTTAGTTTCCCACATCAGAAGATTTGGAGGAGCTCTCCAGCATCAAATTTGGGGAACCAAGGCGGGTAAAATTCCGTTTTCGAAAACTAAATTACGTCGCCCTCCAAATAAGACAGAATGCGTACGAATCAACTCGAAAAATCTGCTGCGGGTAAGGAAAGAATTTTACAGGTTCTACAGCGCTTCAAGAGCGTTAAAGGAGTCGAAAATTATTTCTGCAGACTTGAGAAAAGGGGAGGCGTGCAAGTGTTACCCAGGCAGCCGCCTGGTGCCGCAGCCAGCCGTCAGAGCTAGCACCAACGCCGCGGCTGAGCTACCGTAAGCGCGCTCTCGTCGTCCGCAATCTCTCGCAGAGAGATTTTCGCAGCAGCCTCGCACCTCATCGCGCTGAGGTGCGAGAATTCCCTCAGAGGTCGAGCTACTGCCACATATTATATATCGATCAACACTGCGGAAAATTTGTAGTTTATTAGTAATATACATTACAAAAAATATACAAAAACAAAAAAGTTAAATAAATAAAAAACACAAAAAATCACAAATTAAAATCACAATCAAATTTACAATTTTACATCCGCACTGCTGTCAAATGGTTTTTTCTGTGACAAATTTCGACATTTTAATACAAAAACTATTTATAGAAGATGTGTTTTGTAATTTCCTGTCTCATATTCTTCTCTAAAGCTGCGCATCGCATCAATAATTTTATCTCGGCGCAACACATCCTTCTTTCGTAATGGCTTCACGCTTATTTCTTGTTTTGTCTCCTACATCCGCGACAAGTATAAAGTGCCGTGTCGGTCCTTGAAGTTTTTTTGTGATATTGAAATATTTTTTATGAACTTACTCCACGATATTATGCTTTCAATTTGATTTTTGTGTTTTTTTATTTATTTAACTTTTTTTTGTTTTTGTGTATTTTTTGTAATGTATATTACTAATAAACTACAAATTTTCCGCTGTGTTGATCGATATATGATATGTGGCAGTAGCTCGACCTCTGAGGGAATTCTCGCACCTCAGAGCGATGAGGTGCGAGGCTGCTGCGAAAATCTCTCTGCGAGAGTTGCGGACGACGAGAGCGCGCTTACGGTAGCTCAGCCGCGGCGTTGGTGCCAGCTCTGGCGGCTGGCTGCGGCGCCAGGCGGCTGCCTGGGTAACACTTGCTACGCACCCTGAGAAAAGCCTTCTTTCTAACGTCCTCTCAACGTTGACACCGGGAATCTGAAAGCAGTCTCTAGAGAGGACGGTGGACGGAAGATCCAGAAAAGTCGGGAGGGATTGTGCCTACAAAATCATCGAATATAAGTTAATTACCAAATTCAAAGTTTGGGTCGCACAGCTTACGTAAGCGAGATAACGAACATCACCGATACAGAAGCTTGCTTCGCAGTCTCTTGAAAAAGAAAACGTTGAGAAGTCCGTAGAAGAAAGGGGGTACGAATCTAATAGGCTGTTTTTTTTTGTCGTCAATCTTATTGGATGAATTTTACTGATAGAAATGAAAAAATTTGAAAAGTAAAAAAAAAGTCAAGTATGGGTTTTTCGCCTTCTCCGCGACTTAGATTTTAAATGCATATGTACATTTTGCAATAAAAGTGCAAATTTTGAAGAAGAACCAAAAGAAAAAAGTGGGACAAAACTTACTAACGGCCTAATACATTGAATTAGGCTCATAGACTTGGGAGTTTCAATAAGAAGAAAATGTAATTGTTAAAGGTAAACAAAGTTATGACCAACCAAATTCTGCGATAGAATCCGGCTTGCGGATGATACACCTGCACTTGGTTTTACCTACGAATGAGGCTGATGTTTCGGATAACGATGTCGAATGTGTCAAGGTTCTAGGTTTGTTTATTTGATCAATGAGGATGCCGTAGCAATCGTACTCTTTTGTATTGTTTTTCTAGTGTCGACCATTCGCGATTTCATTGAGAGTGCTTTAGAAGACTTTCGAAGGATAAATAATCAAATGAAAAGGTTACCATTTAGCTTTATGCATGTTACATAATCACGCCTCTGTATGCTTACTTTCTCTTGCCCTTTAAAATATTTGACTCCAATTAGGATCTCTTTCAGAATGCTAAGATTTATCACCTAAGTCATGTTGTATGCAGTGCTTCATCAGATCAAAGCTAAATATTAGGTTGTCCCGAGAGTTTTGTCGTTTTTTTATCGCCCACTGAAACCCACAGAACACCAATTCATGGATGATCCAAGTATCATTTTAATCCATATTTTTATCCTCTTCCTTACAGCCATATTTGCTCTCTGATCTACTCTGTCTTTCCTTTGTTATCGCTATGGTTTTTTAAGCAGCACAACAGTAACGCCAAATCTTTCCTGAATTTTAAAAATTTTCTTCTGCCATTTTTAAAGAGCACTAATAATCATTATGTAGAGCAAGTCTTTGGCTAAATTGTACTTATTTCAGACTAATACGTTCGGCCTTTATAAGTCTCAAATAATCGTGTATCTAAATAAAACCGCATCTTTTTGACTACGTCTACACGTAAAACCGAAAATTCCAAAAATTGACCTTTCAAAGCAAATTCTTGGTTATGTTGCAAGAATAATGTTTATTAACAATCAAGTTTCAATTCGCAGAAATTTCAAAACTGTTTTTGCTGAAGTTGCGTGTTCCATGACTTTGCCAAAAATCGTGACCTCTGAAGAAATGATTTTTAAAGCTAAAAACAGCAGGTTATGAGAGTCTTAAAACATTACCGTATAGTCCGAGAATTGTTTTATTTGTGCTATACTTAACCCTTTCCGAATCTTCGAAATGAAGTTTGTCAAAATTAGCTTAATTTTGATAGATGAAAATGACGGCTGAAGAGTTGTGGCAATCAATAAAAGCATACAGGATTGTGGCTAGGAAATGTAACCACAAGAATGAGAAGGAAAAGCTGCATCGAATGCATGTTGAAACTCATTCATGTCTTTACTTTTCGTGGTTCTATAGCGGTTTGAAGAAGCCGACAAAACTTTCGGGACAACCTAACATTAGGAAATGGTCAGATGTCACTCATTTTTCATTAATCGTCACATCTAAAATGATGACAGATTTCATCTCAAACGAGTTATGTCCACATTCTTCGATAGATCAAGGGAAACCTCCCTTTCCAGCGGGCTAAAACAGTTACTAGTTACTGGTACTCGGTATTCGACACAACATTTTGGATTTCATTTCCAAGAACCTGGCTGTGTATTTTGAAATTGGAAGTTTACAAAGTTGTTCTTTCAGCCTAGCTGTCTTAAAGCAGCGAGCACTTGACATTGATGAGTCGATTGAAATCCACAAGGAAGTAAAACTCGATGATCTACTCCAAAATCTAAGGTCTGGACCAAATGAAAGTCTTAAAAAACTGTACGATAGTGTTCTAGGAAGAAGGGCGGCCATCATGTTTGTTTCTTACGCAGTCACGAGAACTTGGCCGAGCGTCCATTTTGCGAGAGAAATGTTGCTGTTGTTCCTCTACCGAACCTTGGTGAAAGTCACATCGAGGACATAAGCTCAGGAAGTCAATCTGATGCATTGAACTCATTAGGTCTTGCTGCTGGATGTGCGCTCCACGAGTTAGGCCACCTGGTAAGTTAGACGATTGAGATGTTCAAATTAAAGATAGAGTTCCAACAAATCGAAGCTGAATTTCCACCTGGAAAACACTGATTGAGAGAACGCACCGCACCAAATCAAGCTGCCGTTTGGCCAACTATTGTCAAATGGCAGCTTAATTCGAGCTGTTTATGATGTTCAACTCTTATCCAGTAACGTACTTCCTTCAGACGTATCAGCCAGTGTCCTCGATACGGATACGGTACTGGGCGAGAACTTCGCGTGAGGTTTTAGTTATGGATGAATCATGTAAGCTGGACAGTGAATCGGTTATGCCCTCTCAACCAGTGTTTTTTCAAAGCTCAGGCTCCAGATTAGCTGTGCACTATATACCTTGACATTTTTCCTCCTCAAATGCTATTTTCAGCTTGGAGCTTTCCATTCATCAAGTGGGATCATGAGCGAAAGGCCAAACGCTTCCAGGCAAGCTTTTCATCAAGATTTTGGGATTTTGGGTGTAATCTATTACAGAGACGATTTAGATTATTCATAAAGCGAGTAGATCCTACTGCACAAGACTTGCCTATATGCTTCTTTGATAATTATTCTCTCTGTTTATTCGCGCATAGTCCCTTCTTCAATGAACACGAATGTGGTAAAAATTACTCACCTGTATTGTACAAAGTAGCCGATTCGGAAGTACGCATAAAATGTGAAGATGGCATTTCGGTAGTGGTCGTAATCCAGAAGTAAGTTGATCGCACCAGCATATTCTGGTCTAATCGCTAGTATTTTTCAGCACTGCCTATCGTGAGCTCAAAGTCTTTGACGACGTGGTGCCGTCAGTAACTCTTACTCTCAGTAGTCATGACTGGGATCTCATTCAAGTTTATACTGCTCTATGTGTGGTGAAAAGCATAATAAAGTAGCAATTATTTTGCTTTAGAGGCCAAACTATTTTAATACTTTACAAACTGTGTAAATGAGTGGAAAAAATAACGCATGCATTTGTTTGACATGAAAGCATCTAAGATGATGCGATAGTTATTCAGCCGTTTTTTTTTCTTATAAAACAAAGGGTCCAAATCTATTGAGTATCTTGAGTCTTCAGCAGTGATTCAAAATATCTTCTTCTTTTAACTGCCTTCGGAATGCGAATTCAGCCAGGAAAGGATCAAGTGGTAGCTTAGTGTACCTCGCTGCCGCTTGCTTCGCCTCTTGGATGATGGCATTCTAGCACAATAAAATTTGACTAAACCTTGTACGTTTTTAAAAAAAAAAGGCATGTTTGTAGTGTACTCACTTAGATGCTTACATAGATGGCCCGTCTTCACGTGACATGCGAGTTCCAACACAGAAGTTGTTAGCGACCCGTGTTCCTCGCTTCAGGCGACTACGATCTTCTTGATTGTCGTCGTCGGTGTGCATCCACGAGTTCCAGGCGCGAAAATCGTACCCAGCTGATTTCTCATCTGGTCCATCCGTTCCATGAACACGTCTGCCCATCTTTTGGAGGTCTTCTTCGGGGACGTTGCTTCCCGAGGAATCCACTCTGATGCTCTTAGTGCCGTCTGTCGTGTGTTCTTTTCATGATGTGATCTGCCCATCGATGCTTCGCTTTCGCAATGTACTTCGCTGAGCCTGCGAAGACGGAACATTCTTCTCAAATCCGTACCGCGAAGTCCGAGAAGATGTTGTTTGTGTCGGGTCACCTTCAGAAAACTGCGCTCGAGCCCTCTGTGGGTGATCCGTAGAGCTTTCGACGTGGTCACTGTGTCGGCTCAAGTCTCCGCTGCGTGATAGAGCGCCGGAAGAAGGGATGGGTCAAACAGGTGAGCACGAAGTCCGGGTTCTCGCTTGGTCGGTGACTTCCTTCAGAGGCCCAAAGGCGGCCCATGTTGCTCTTCTTCTCCCGTTGAATACTTCCTTCAAGTCGTTCTCCATGTTTATCGAACATCCGAGATAACACGTAAGAAGACGTCTCCATAATGGGGTGCCTTCCAATTCCATTTCTTCATCTTGCATACTATACTTCCGATTTATTCGCAATTCATCTTCTTCCCTACTTCGCTTAGTTTCTTGTTTTGATACCTTTTATCAAATAAAATGCTTCTCAACTTTGCGCGCATTGAAAAAACTAAAGTATCTCACTTCTTTGCAGTTCTTTTGCGCTGGGAAATCAATTTTTTAATCATCGTCTCTGCTGCAGTGATACTGCTCGGAAAGAGAACGATATCCCAAAGGTTCAACAGGATTTTCCCATCAACTCATTCCTCTCTCCTTCCAGTCCAGTGACTTCACCACCTATCGCAAGGCCGGGATGAACAGCTTTTAGTTTGTCCGCTTTAATTCGGGATAAACAGGCCGCTGAATTTCATCTTTATTATATTCACAGTCAGATCTATAGCCCGTAAATTCATGGCACGATGGAGCAGCAATTCAAACTACTACGCGAAACTAGGGATAGACTTCACTTATATGCCAGCTTCTGTCTCTTTCCCTCCCATTTTTTTCATCATATGATATCTGATCTTTAATTACCCAAAATCGAGAGGGAAGTCAGGAATTTACGGGGCTATGCATCTCCTGCGGACAACTAGGTAGCGAATAAAGTTGTCCTCTCCGCTCTTCGTGCTGTGCGATGAGTGTGACGTATCTGCGATCGCAAATAATTGTTGTAGAAAGGGTGATGGTGATCAAATTCCGATGGTCTTCTGTTCGTATTAAGGTATTATCCACCATGCATCCGCCAAAAGATTTTCCGCAACTGTGCATTTTCTTTTAAAATGTCGAAAGTCTGCCTTTTGTGATGCTCTATGGTACCCTAGATGCCCAAGTGAGATAACCATCATAAATCCGCTCCCATGGGTGGTAAGAAGCGACAGAGTGCGAAGTGACAAGAACAAGATGTTCTACCTTTTAGCCATTCTTTCGCTTTGGGAGCATTGCGTAGTTTATGCAATCACTGGCTGAAAGACATAAAAAACGAAATTCAATCTGTCATCAAATCACAGTAAAAAATTAAGTGAAAGTTCCTGCAGAGGAGAGATAAGAACAATTTGTCCCAGAGGCGATTCAAAGCACGCAAAGACCGCGGACTCTTCGGCGTCTCTCCGATCTCTAGCGCTCTTTCGTTTCTCTTATCATGTGCTGTCTCTCCCATGCAAGAACTATCTTGGTCGGACGCAACGGCGCCCAGTCTTTGCGTGTAAACATGTTCGCTAGTTTTTTTTGGGAGGGGGGGGGGGAAATTTGAGAGCAGCGAAACAAACCAACTTTCACGGGTAGTATGCCATAAAAGGTATTTGGGGATTTGTTTCCACTTTATCTGGAGAGCATATTGTTTAGTGGTTTGAAAGGAGCCCTACTGAGAGCAAATAGCAATAGAGCTTTATTATCGTTTTAACTGCAGTTTTCCATGGAACGAGTAGTCGAAGACTGGCATTCACGCAAAATGCAACCCACAAATATTCTAAAATATTCGTAAAACTTGAAAGCTAGAAAAAGATCTATCAATGTCGGAAAATCACGTTCATAACAAAAAACGGTGAAGTTTATGCGTACGGGCTATACGTAGGCAGTCCGCTTGTAAAAACTTATTATACTTATTAGTTTGACTCGTTTTATGTAATTCTGGTAATGAAAAAGGGATTCAAAATCGGGTTCACAACAACTTGTATGAATGTCATGCCATGCAAATTGTTCTACAGAGTAAAACATACTTCGAAACTTCGTTGCTTGTCCACATACCATACCTCAAGAAGCAGCGAATCCGAATTTGAAAACAAACTTGTGCAGGACATTTGCTATGACAATATATCTCTCTCGCACTGCATCACTTCTCTACTATTGTGAGATTGCTTCTTACGAGGAGCATAAAATATTGTTTCTAGAATCACAATACTGAGAAAATCCGGTACGACGCTTGATCGAGTTTTCGCTATGAAAACACTGAAACATGTGAGAAGAGCCTCGAAAACTAGTTCCTCACTGCTTCTTCTGCTCATACAGTTTTCGGAACACAAAACATCTGACAAGGGAATGGTCAGAAGTCGAAGTGGCCAATCCATACAAGCTGCATACCAATCGATGCAGCATAGAATGCTGATTTCAAATGTGTCTTCCGTATCTGCAGAGCGCCTTTGTGGGCGAAGTTATGAGCAGCTTTACTGCGAAAAAATCGTCCACAAAAACTGCGAAATTAGGCAGATCACTGCTCTTTTAGCTCACCTTTAGGTACGAGCCATATGAACTGACCTGGTTACACGTTTTGGTCCAACACTGAGCCGAGAATGGCTTTGTACGGCCAAGTTTGACCTTTACACGCACAATTTCTTAGCAAAATGATGACATTTAACGGCTTATAACTTCGCCTACAAAAGCGCTCTGCAGATAAGGAAGACAGATCTGAAATCAGCATTCTATGCTGCATCGAATGGTATGCAGCTTGCTTGAATTGGCCACTTCGATTTCTGACCATTCCCTTGTGAGCAATTTTGAGTGAAACTGTTTGATCAGGAGTCTCTACTTTGCCATAACACAAACTGATCGTCTTGGTACTCGAATTTGTATAGGCAATTCATAGCACGCAAAGACTGCGGACATATCTGCGTCTCTTTAATCGAGCGCTCTTTCGTTTCTCTTACCATCTGCTGTCTCTCCCAAGCACGAACTATCTTGGCTAGACGCAACGGCACCTAGTCTTTGCGTGTTATGAATCATGTATACTTCTCGTATCAGTCTATTTGTATAGTATCTGCTGCTCAACTATCTTTCAATACTATGGCCTTCTTACGTCTTTTTTTTTCGAATCCAGATTGCATTCCCTTTTGAGCCGTATATACCAGCTTGAAGCGTTTTTATACAATGTTTATATTGCCAGCTTTTTGGCCTATCCTAGGTGCTTCCGATCCCTTGCATAAACTTCCATGTTCTTCTTTTCGGTATATATGTCCCTATAAATTCTCTGGCGACTAGTGCAGTTTTTTTTCCCTAGGCTTAATGGCAGGTCTAGGCAAACTTGGTTCCTGACTTATCAAGAACTCTGAGGCATTCACCAAGCAATTCGAGCGACTGCTTATAAATTCCATTCGGTGGCTGAGAAATATAATACAGTGAGTTTCAACTCAGTTTAGGCAGAAATTGGACTGGCGGGAGTCCGCTTCGCAACGATTCGCGTCGCTTTGCAGTCTGCATCTCTTCATTTTAATATCTCGCCGACCAGTGGAGGTGCGGACGCGCTGCTCCAATTGGAATGTTTCGCCTACTCCGGGTTGAATAAGATTCTAACTCCCTATACTCTCGCCCATTACTGTATTGCTTTCATCCACCTGAAACGATCAGCGCCACGGATACGGTAACTGGGCGAGAGTTCAGGTAGAAGTTCGCGCTCAGGCAGACAGGCACCAGACTATTCAGTTCAACCTGTTTGTCCTGGTTCACCCGTTCGCTGTTGGTCAATTCAGGAAATAGGAAGGGAGCGTACCCCATAAACTGAACCGCAGGCTACCTCATGGATTAGCTATATAAACGCTTGGTCAATGGCATAGTCGACGCCTAAATTTACTAACCACATAGGATATTCAAGCATGTAAATTGTATGGATACCCTAGTCTTGGCAAAATTTCTATGTATGGAGTGACTTTAACTCCACAATATTTTCAATATATAATGTCTTCGACTTTTGCGCTCAGACACAGTCTCCAACCTACAATTGCACATCGAGCTTAGCCCTCGCGACTAATCCCATTTGAACATGCTGACCGCGCCGAATCCATGGCAATGGCCGCAATTCGCGGACTCGCAAATCCTACGCCTGCAAAATCGCTCTGCTTCGTTCGTTCCCAAGCTTTGTTCTTTTCAATTTTTTGTTGAATAGTTTTTGAGTTGCGTTACCTGTAATAACATTGGTTGTAGATGCAGTTCTCCAAGTGTGCACTAAACATCGGTCGCTCACATTTTATGCTTCATATTTCATGCACCATTTGCTGGGAAATGTTCCAGAATGAATAAAACGGTCGAGAAATTGAAAGCATATAGAAGGGATGCACAAAAACAACCGCAAAATGAAATGGAATGTAATGGCTCGCCGTCAACATCAGCTGAAAACGAGGTTGTTGGGCAATTTTTACTCTGCTTTAAGTCTCTTTTTTTAACATATGATTATGACCTTGATTGGTGAACTTGCTAACCAGGCGAGTCGGTTTAATCAGCTCAGCACTATGAACTCTGCCAGTGCAAAAAATATTTTGATGCTTAGTATTGGATTTGCAACAATCAAAAGATCTTTGATGATGGTTGTCTTATCTTAGTCCTTTAGTTTCTTATCATTACTCAAACTTTTTTCCGCATCATATTACTTCATTCTTGCATTCTTCTACTTCATTAGAAGAGATGATTTCCGTTGTGTGAGCCATCGGTTTTTGTTTTTGACTGCTACTATCTCTCCTTAGAGTATGGCGGAAACTCTAAGGTGCTCTTCTAGAAACTATCCTACTTTTCCCTTTTTCAGATGTGTTATGACTAAGTTTGACAAAAAGAAGTGCCTATTTTGAAGATTCTTTTATCATTTACACTATTCACTGAGCGTTGTAAACAGGATCCTCATTTGCAGCTTTTGCGGCTCAAATAGAATGTTGTAAGTAGTTGTTCCGATCATCATTGACTGCTCTGGTTACAACAAATTTGTCGCTGCTATTGTTTTTTATCATATCCTACATTTTTCGTCAAACTCCTCTTTGAATGTATTAAGCTCTATTCAAAGTCTGTATTGAGCTTCAGCAAGACCTCTTTTTATGCTTCCCGAATACCGCCCACTCTTTCATGTGAATGTAACTCCAATCAGGCTCAGCGCTTGTCGTTTCTGAATTGTATCTTCGACTTTGTTAGGAGAACAATCGCGGCAGTCGGCGGTCGCCAGGGATTTGGGAGCGCCTGAATATTGATGTTCTTGATGCACCACCTTTTCGCTTCTGGCGGAAATGTTACGAAACGAATCCAAGATCAACTCTTTTCGCCACAGCTCTGCTGTACTTGGTGGGGCAGATTTACTTCATTTGGTGAGTGCCTTTTTAGTCAATCCAATCATTCTATTCTAACTTTTTATCGTGCTTTGAAGAGAACTGCTGGTGAGAAACTTGAAAAGACTTTTATCTCATATTTTTGTGTCCTCTTTTGCTCCCTTTGCTGAGTCTTTTTAATACGCCTTTCTTTCCTGGTCTTGATGAAGACATGAAATTGGCTTCCCATCTCCATAGCGTTCTGTGTCCATAAAGCCGAATGCAGTTTCGAAAGAGCCGACACCGACAGCGTATAATTAGGTTAGGCTTCTGAGTAACCGATGCATCGTCTGCATGGAACAGCTTCCTCCTTTTGAGTCTAAACATTTGTGTTAAACTGCCGGTATGTATTGCATCTGAATCCACTGCAATAAGATTGAACTACTAGTCCGATTTTTTCGTGTAGTCTAAGCTGTTTATGAGTCCGGCGCTGATGCTAATTGGTCTCTAACAGTCCTCGCATATGTTATTTTTTATCGGAGATCTGCAATGTCTGATAATGCAGCTTTCTGATGAGTTTAGGATGATGAAATGATTTTTGAGAGCGAATGTTTAGGGTTAAAACTTTCGGTTTTTTGGGCACATGCACTAAAGCAATCTAGCAAATATAGCGTATTTTCATGCAAATGGAAGTTGCCATTCTTTATTAACGCATGACTAGCTCATGAGCGATGGCTAAGCGTCCATCATGGAATGAGTTGCCCAATAAAGCTTTATTCTCAAGTGTTTTCTCCAATTAAAAGGTTGAAGGAGAGTGATGGGTTTGAAAACAATAAGAGAATCACTCTTGAGGAAAATCAAACGAATATTTTATGCTCGTTTATTCTGCAGGTACTATGTCTTGTATATGTAATATATCTGTCCAAAAGCATTATAATTCACGAACATAGTTTTGTATATGACCCACTGAACTGATTAACTTTAATCCTCATGCAAAAGGTGTATTTGTTTTTTTCACTTTGCTTTTACATCTGGCAGTTGGACAAGGTTTATGAATTATCATTCTGAAAGCGGTTACCATTTTATCAATTCCTCACATATGCTTACTTGAAATTTGAAGCAGAAATACCCTCGCACATTTCGTATTCTCTCAAAACAACAGACATGCCCATTATGATTATGCTAATAATGCGATAGGCGTCTGGATGTGTTGTTATTCTTCTTCTCCCTTCTGTACTGTGCTATTTCATTTCCGCGAGCATAGCCAAAATTTTCAATTTCCGCTAGTTCTTGTGTTTTGTGCCTTTTGACCTTTGCTGCAGTTTTTTTGAGGAAAGATATACGCATTTGACACAAGATATTGTAATAAAATGCATCCTTGAGCATAGAAGTGTTGAGGAAATGATTGGTGAATTTTGGCCAACTCCTCACATTTGTTATTTAACCAGAGCTACCGTATAAGAATGTCAAGTGCGGAGGAAACATTTATCCGTTGCTGGGCAGATATGTGCGGCAGAACAATGCATATGAAATATGTGGTTGGACCCTTCTATCAATCATCAGTTGTTTTGCGAATGCCATTGCAGGGTCCAGTTCGGCCTGGTGTTCTTCTCTATATCAATCCTCATCGCAATATGTTTGGGTCTCGGAAATCGCAGTGAAGGCGAGGTTTGTGCGGCTATAGTTCATTATTGAATAATCATTGAATAAGATACTTTAGCTTGGCTAAATATGCATCTAGCCAAGTTATAGCGCTTTCTACAAGCACGTCTGTCGGTTTTCTTTTCACCGTTTTTCTTTGGTGGCATCTGTCGTCTCAACTTGATGGCATGTTCGCCAATGTTTTACATAACCAGATGTTCCTTGAAGTGATGTGCACTCGTATTTCAAAGCGTTTCAGTTGTCCGCTTACTCTGTGTTCAATCCACATTGTGAACGATTACTTGGACAAATGACTGCCGAGCATTTTGAAAGGGATGTGCTGAGGAGGAGGATAGACTAGGTTAGTGGTTTCGTATCTCCGCATGATTTTGATAGACACGTGTTTTGGATAGCTCAACACTTACAGAGTTTTTAGTTTTTCATTTCTACATCTCACGCATGTTCCGCCTTCTTCTACCTCTGTTTACTTGTATATTTTTGTAAATTTGAGTGGGTGTCGAAAAACTTATTCTTCCATTTATCTTGAGTAACATACCTCTTTTACCGTTTTTGTGCATCACGAAAATATTGTCATTTGAGGTTACCGTGGCTGATTTCAATTTTTTTTTGCTTATCGGAGTGAATGTATTATAGTTTTGGAGCACATCAAGTAAATGAGCAGTGAGATAACGCGAGTACGCATCGCTAGACGATCCCACCACTTTCACAAACTCTCAACATTCATCACTACTATCGAGTTTGCGTTAGATATAATTTTTCAGTAAAAATATTGTACTTTTTGAATGTTCATATGATTCGAGCTTGACACCAAATTACTTCAGTTTTAGTGTCGATGAGTTTCTTATAATGGCAGCACACTTTTCATTATACATTTTATGATATCGCTTTTCGTCTATTTATATCTGAGAAAGTCACAGCACCAACAGCTATTTGCTGCAACATACATCCATTTGCCTTCCTACTTCTTTTTTCTTCTTCATCTCTTTTTTTCTCGTTGAGTGCGTTTTCTCCTAGAGTGCGCTTTTTTATCATCTATCCATTTATCTTGGGATTACTTCTTCTCCATTTCTGCCATTCTTGTGCTCATAACATTGGCAGTGTAAATTGACGTGGGCGACATATGCCCTGTGAATAATTCCGTCGATGTTTTCTGCACTAATAATGCGCAAACCATCGCTTCATGTCAACAAGTCATTCGTCAACGATGTGATGGGTTATATAGTAGTACGGAGCTATTTTTGATCGAGTGCATCTATGTTGCTGATTGCATCTAACGCTCGCAAGAAATAACTACATGGCGCTAATTTGATTTTGTTGTTCGCGGCTTCAGATCTCGTGACAGACATCAGGAATATGTTGAAGAGAGATGTTCTTTGATTCCTTCCATTTTTTGAAGAATTGAATGTCTTCTTTATTTTCTAGTAAAAAAGTTAGTGTCCGCTGCATAAAACACATCCATATATACCCACCTTTGTTAAGAATTCATTCGACTTGGAAATTTTTATTTCTGATAAATAGTCATCTGAAGCTCATCTTGAGTAATTAGTTCATTCAGTCCAGTTCATCAGTTTCATAGGAAGCTCTCGGCAGATCAGTTTTTTGTTCGTCTTTGCCTTGCCTTCGCACAGCTGTCGCCGCAAGAAGCTAAAAAAAACTTCACATTTTTGCATGTTCGCCATGAGCGGCTCTTTTTCTCTCCTAAAACTGTTTAGAGATGGCATTAGCATGCTGCGAGTGTTACACTGGCTCTGACATGTGTTTCTAGTTGAGGCAGAAGGTACTAGAAGCTTCAAAGTAGTTCAGTCTTGCAGTTTTGACTGACTAATGACCGTCGGCCTCATCTCTCAGAGATAATTTCTCCATTTCAGTAAGCTTGCGGATCAAGAGAGCTGCAGGTTTGTTGCAAATGCTTCGTTTCCGGCCAGTTTCTCTCGTTTTTGGCACAGCTTCAAAAGGGTGTAACTTGCATGTAACAATTCTGTATGTAACAGTTATCCTTTCTGTGACAGGGTGTCATCTGCAGAAGTAAATTTGACCATGCATACTTTCAGTATCGGTTGAAATTATGAATGTGTTGTAGATGGGAAACCTTAGAAGTTTAAGAATGAGAAAACTAAGGAATATGATAGACAACCGTCTACGAGTAATCTCAAGAGAGTATTTTGGAGAATCCCAACGAGTTCAGTTCGAGAGAAACGTCATCATTTTGCACTAATTTAATTGAAATATCCCCAATTGTCGACCACAGAGATTGTTTTGAAACATCATCAGTGATTAGTGAACTGTTGAACATACTCATAATCGTGATGCGAATGATTTTGAAGGCTATTTTTGTGTTTGTTATTTTTTTCCATTGGGAAAACAGCAACACTTTGTTTGAGCACACCATGCCCCCTTTCATTTACATTCCTGTTCTTATATTAGAAAACATTTTGCAGTTTCTTTGTACATCTTCAAACCTCATCTGTAAGATAAATCTTTCTCTTTTTGCTTTCGTCCCTCATTGTTTGGTTTTTCTCGCCGGCTTTGTTATGGAGACTGTTCGAATTTCGTGCCTCTTGTGCTGTGTCGCTTTCTGGCCGTATGGCTCACGACATACTTCTAGAGTGTTTGATCGCGCATCACTCGACCATGCATCCAACTATCTGCGGCCTTTTATTTCAATCTTATCGTGTGGTTCTCCATGGAGTACAGAACTAAGTTCTTGTTCTAAATTCATCAAAACTTGCGTCCCATAGCGCAGTATGTGAGGTTTTTTTGGTTATCTTTACGCTCCATCGATCTCCTCTACGCGAACTATGCGAGCGAAGTTTACGAGTGTCAGGGTGTCATATCGTTGCCGTTGCCGTTTGATGGCTCATATGAATGGTTAAAAGCAATTCTGACACTTTGCACAATAGTTGTCGGAGAGCGGTGTGACGGACCTGCGCTCGGATATAAGTATTATGGAATCGTAAACTCTCTCCATTTCGCTGCTGATCTGCAATTTCATTTTTTTTTCTTTGAAAAAAGGATCATTTTAGCATTTGATACCATCTTCTTGATTTTTCCTGTATAATTTCCATTTTTCGTATCTAACAACTTTTTTTGAATGATGTGGTTCACAAGCACATCAAATCAGAACATCTAGCTCCATTTTTATCTTTTCTTCTAAAATTGCCGTCTTCCGTTGCCCCTTTCCTTTAGAGGCATTTCTGATGGTTGACGCACACTCTCCCCTGAGATATGACACAGGCGCGTGCTCAAGGTTTTTTATCAGAAAATTACATCTGTCTTTGTAACTTTCGGATTCTTGATGAAAGGTCTAATGTGCTTTGACCTTTCAGGAGGTGTTTGTAACTTAGTAAAAAGTACTTTTTTGCATTTTTGAAGGCTCAAGATAGGAGTTTCCTGTGAGAGAAAGCTCGAAATTTGCTCATCAGTTCCTGGCATTTGACATCTGGTATGGGCTGTAAATTGTGCTAGCCAGAAGTTTCAGATAAAGATTGATTACCTAACCTTATGCTTTCAATCATCTTTGTCTGGGCCTTCGCCGCGCTGCGATGCACTTGACTATGTGATGCGATATACGCTTGAGCTAGTGTCAGTTTTTGCTTGCGACGCTGATATAGCAAGAAGTTTCTGTGATCGGCTTGGAATTCCAACAGAGTCGCTCCTACGTGGGAAGCAATGAAGACTAAACAAAAGCTCATCTCATCATTTTCCATTTTGATTAGCTAGAGTTCAGAAAATCGGCTAAATTTTCGTTTTTCTCCTAGATTGTTCTCTAGTAACATTATTGGAGTCATAAAAATGAAGGCTGAGAAACTAATAATAATCTTCGACTTGGAGCAAGAAAAGCTTTTTTTCGTGAACGAAGTCGCTGATTGATGGGGCAAATTCAAAGCGAAAAATTGGTGTCATTTTCTGTGGCAATTGTCATTGTCTGACAAAGATTTTGGTTCTTCCCCTGAGATCTCCACTTTGGTTTCTTTTGTCGGGCAAAATTACTATAAATAATTTTGTAAAAGTGTTGTTGTAGACTATGCTGACTGTAATATTCTCATAGAGAATTAATCTGATCCATTGCATTTCCTGAAAATCTCGATACCATTGTCTCAATCTAATGTTTAATATTCTAACTTTTGAGCTTTTTTCTGACTGTATGTTCTAGAATAACATCACATTACATGTTGTGTGAATTTCATCTTTTTTGCTTTTTATTTGAAATTGCCGTCATCCGCTGCCTTTTCTCCCTGAGGACGTTTTTGGTAGCGGGACACACAGTCTCCTCTGGTATATGACATAAGTGCTGCTTTAGTTTTTTTTTCTCAGAAAATTGGGTCGATCTTTCGTAAGTTTTGGGCTTTTGATGAGAGGTTTAATGTGTTTCGATCTTTCAAGAGTTTTGGGTTGATTTAGTCAGTAACAGTGTAATTCCTTCTTCGCACCATAGCATAGCTGCGGAAATGCGGATATTTTGGTCTTCGTTCAGTGCGGAGTAATCCTTTCACCAAGAAGATGTGAGAAAATTCAACATTCGCTTGTCACTCTAGGCTTTTACATCCAATGTGAGCTTGTGTAAATTGTGCCAGCCCAGAACTTTCAGATAATGATTGATTGGTTAACCTAATGCTCTCAGTCATCTTTGCCTGGGACTTCACCGCGCTGCGATGCACTTGACTATGCGATGCGAGATGTCTCGCTAGAGCTAGTGTCAGTTTTTGCTCGCTATGCTGACAAAGCAAGAGTTCTCTGTTATCAGCTTTAAATCCAGCACATGTCACTTATATGTGGGAGACGATAAAGCTTGCTGAATTGGAACTTGAAGTTCACTGTCTTTCTTTGTAGTAAATAGCTGAAGTTTATATAATCAGTTAGATTCTCTTTTTTCGTCGGATTATGATGTCTTCCCCAGTAACATCATTTGGGTCATAAAAATAAATGCGCTGGGAAACCAGTAATAATCTTAGATGTGGAGCTATAAAAGTTTTTTGCGAGCAAAGTCGCCGTTCAGTGGAGCAAGTTCATTGCTAAAGATTCATCCCAATTTTTGTTTCCAGTGTCTTGGCAGAGAAAGATTAGTTTTATTTGACTTGGAGCATCTTTCACTTTGCTATTTCTAAAAAAGGTTGCTAAAAATTCATTTGTGTGATTTCTGATGTTTCCTGTTCCACTGCAGCTGTATGCGCTGATCTATTTCTTAGCCTATATAAAAATTTTATCGGCTGGCGGAAATTTTTTTGTAGCATCTTTCAACGTCTGTCAGTCTTTGTCAGTGCGAAGGAAATGAGAAACAGCTTTCTGCTTATTTTGTGTGCAATATATTTACTACATATCTATTTTCTTTGCCTCTCCCTA